ACCGATGGGGAAGAAAGGTTCTCGAGTGGCAGCCTCGTACCGGTAGGCGAAGTGTAGGGCAACCCCCCACGAGATGGAGTGACGACCTGGTAAGACATGCAGGAAGTCGATGGATGCAGGTGGCTCAGGACCGTGCTTTGTGGCACTCCTTGGGGGAGGCCTATGTTCTTGTTTTGTTTTAATAATGCCTAATAGGTAGGTACGTTTATAGTGCTCATGAATACGGCAACATGTTAATGTGCCTTTGAGAATCTCATACTTACTTAGGATTTAGACCGGTAAGATATACCTAATTTTTTTTAAATAACTTAGTACTGAACTCATCTGAATAGGTACATAACTGAATACATCAGAACTACACGATAGATAAAAAAGCATGACTCTAACCTTGTTAACATTTCATTTATGTAATGTTTTTATTAGCGGGGAATCGAACCAGGTATTTGGTTTATTTAACTTGTGAAGAAAGTGGCTAGGTGGAGACAAGCACAGTGGCAAAATAGTAGGTTAAGTAGATAAGTCAAGTATTTAGACAAGTGTTGTAAATTATTAGGTATTGTGATACCATCGCTAGCTGCGGGCCGATTGATTGTAATTCCACTGCTGGTTTTATGTTTAAGTATCTTCATGATTTTTATAATGAAATTATCGTTTCATTTAGCTGTACTAACATGATGGACCGTGAATAAAGCTAATAAAACGTTGTGAAAAGATGATTTTTTTCCACTCAGGATTGATTTTATTTCTCACCCAATTAATCTATCAGATGCCAGGAGACTACGAATGCAAGTGTAATACAAAAGTGTCGTACTGCATCTGAACAAAGCGAAGATATACTGGTGAGTGAGGATAGTACTCTTACCAAGATTTAACGGAACAAGAATTGCACAACCACGCCTGTCTAATCTAATTAATGTTAAAATGGAATTACGCCCTTATGCGCATTGACAAAAGGTATACAGCTATGTCGTTTTTTTTTTCTATAAATTACTTATTCATCGGCTTAAATGTTTTGCCGTCGGAAAATCGCTTCTTGAATCACAAATAGACCTACACTCTTTTGTAACTAGGTCGCCTCAAAGTGATAGAAAACACTGTGTATATAGACACAATATCAGGCTTATTCGCAAGAATAGTCCAGTCTGTGACGATGGCCCGGACCCAGTAGAGCGTGGCGCGGTCATTTTCGAGCACAGCAAGTACTTATAATAACCCAATTTCCGATCCACAAGACCGTATTTCTAGAGATCTGGGGGCACGGCAGTGCCCCCGCCAAGTCGAGCAAAAAAGCGGCACGGCCGTACCATCCTTTTCTCGAAGCAGTTCATGCCATTTTAGAAACCCTATAACTTCGTTGTAGATAAAACTAGAAGCCTGAATTTTCAATAAGCAAGTAGGCATTGTATAAACTCGGTATATTTCAAATTTCATAAAATTTGAACTAGTAGTTTAAGAATTATAACTAGTCAAAGTTTCTTAATTTTGTCACTCACTGACTGACCGATCATCAAAACTCTAAGGCACTTCTAGCAGACATAGAAGCTTCAAATTTGAAATACAATTATGGTTTAGTATATAAATCAAGGAAAAATTAAAATATTTTGCAATTTCGGTCCAGCTTTCGAGATACACCAACTACATAAATAACTTTGTAATCCCATATAAATATATAGGATTACAAAGTTACATTTGCAGTGAATGAATCTGTATACCTATATATGTATAATATAATGGAATAATAGGTGTAGATAGGTACATAGATATAACTATCTACAAAGAGAAATGAGATGCCATCAAAAACATAATGTATCTCTCAAATAATACATTTTACACTTTTTACGGTAGAAGAACTGAGTTGCGAGACTTGGTTTTTGATTTATGTTTTTGATGGCATCTAGAATTCTGGCTATCAGGTTGTGCCTGTGCAAGTACTCAGAATTAGAAAGTGCCGAACAACCGGAGATGACATGCCTAAGTGACTCTCCTGGATGCCGACAAACTCGACAGATGTCGACGGTGCCATCCCTTAGGATGTATCTCCAATAGTTGTTGGTCTTAATAACCTGATCCTGTATCGCTCAGACAAAACCCTCGGTTTCCGCAAAGAGGTCACCAAAACGTAGCCAGTGAAGGGAGGCAACTAAGTCTACGAAAGGCTCATGCAGAGCCCTGTAGAACCTCCCGTGGAGCTCCTTCTCCTTCCATACCGTCTCGGAAATGCTCTGTACTGCCTGCTCTCTTCTTTCTATTGCTTGTTGGCTAAGGATAGAGGGGTAAGCCCTTTATCACAAGAGATGACGTCTCTATAAAATGGATCATCCGATCTCGTCAGAAAGTAATTACGGAGGCTAAACACTTCGCGATTATACATGGTAAGCGCGCTTAAAAAGTCACGCCCAACATGTTTCCGCGTCAAGTACAGCCTCATAATCGACGATCACGGGTGATGCATCCATCCTATGGGACGTCATAGTAATGCAGACTTTTCTATCCAAGGCGTTAAGCTCAGTTTGAGTCCACCTAGGTATGCCAAAGGTATACATGAGAATAAGCATGACCCAACTGTTATATACGTATGTCTTATTCACACCGGACAAAAGGCTGTTAAACACTTTGGTCAAGCGCGCATAAAACACATTGCAAACTGACTGTTTTATACCCGACTCATTGATATCGATGTTCTGTGACATACCCAGGTATCGGTATGTTTCAGCCTCGGAAAGGGTCATTAAGTTGATGGGCATAGATAAGTTTATGCCCTCAGAGTTAGCAACCCTTCCCCTTTCAACATGGAGGATTGCACACTTATCCGTCCCCAGCTCCATTTTAATAGAATTAAAAATGATGTTTAGCAATTCCATAAGATGGGAGCGACTGGAGGCGAATAACTTGTGATCATCCATATAGAAAAGGTGGGTCACTCGCACACTGACTCGCCACAACTTAAGTCCAAGGGCTCTCGCTGTGGTTTACGGGCTCTGATCACAGGCCGCGTTAGAATGCAACAGTGTCGGCCTGATTCGGTGCTGGGCCAGTTCCACGGGCCATTGGTCGCTCCAATGATTCATAGAGCCTCTTCTGATCACTCTGGAAGAGACGATTCTGGTTGAACCGTGTCGACCTCTTGGTATATCGCCGAATCCGCTATCCCCAAGCAGCGATTCTCTGCTTCAGGTCGGCTATGCGCTCCGTCAGTTTTTGCGTTATATCCGGCAGGAGAATACATTTATCACAGCAAACGCCATTCTAACAGACACACAATTATCCTGTTATTGCCAGACATGAGCATATCAGTCTGCCGATAAGGGCCCTAGCCTTTGCGATACGTCCCTCAATTCTTATTCTCCAGGCTGGGATGGCGCTACTTTGTCTAGTAGTACGTCCAGCCATGGGGAGCTTGGCGCCAATAATACGGCATACTGCCAGTGCGGCGCCAAAAAGAATTAAGTCCATCTCGCAAAGGTCCCGGCTAGCTTCCAAATAGGTCACCAGCATTGGGTTTAAAGCTCCCACGACAGCCCGATTACGCTTGCTTAGGGTTATGCGGGGAAGGTCGATTTTCGAGGGGCGTACTGCCCGTTTCCACAATCGCCTCTTCCAATGTACTCCTCATTTGCTCTAGTTCTAGTTCCTGGGAGACTGTTTCATCATCGTCTGAAACAACCACAACAGAGGGATTCACGGCGGCATCCACATCTGCGGGTTGCTCTGCAACTTGTGGCGCCGGATTCGCAGCTGTAATATTTTCATCCGATGGGGAAACAGCCTCATGTCGTAGCTGTTCGAGTTCGGTGACATCAAATATATTTGAACGCAAGATATACCGAACTCGGTCTGCCAGGTTTAGCTCGGTGACGGTTATAGATGGCTCCAGCGCAGCAAAAAGACGATGCATCGTAGCCCGGTATGCAAAACCTCTAACTTCTCCCCCTTTCGCCCTAAAAATACGCCCGCGTATTGCGTTGCTGTTCATTTGCATTGTACATAGTATGCGGCGTACTCCATCAGTGGCGGGTGCCGATTGCTGGGCCTGCGAAAACTCTGCCGACACCAAGCCAGCTGGTGGGGTGATGGATGCGAGGGTCTGCTGGGTGGTCGGGCAGCACCTCGCGCTCTGCTGGCGGTTCGCATGCTGTCGCGTCCAGTGCCAGCTTCAGACGCGCCCTGGTGACCTCCAGGCAGCTGCAGTTTGCGCTTTCTTCTGTGTTCCATCATCTATTTAATGGGCGTCAGTTAACGGGAAACGCCCAGAGACCCGGCACCGTTTCATGGTGAGACCATGTGTACAAGCGGGCCTTTGCACCTTCAATTTTGCCGAGGCACGGCGCTAAAACCTCTTAGCAAGGTGCTGACTGACTGCGCTTACGTAGCAATTTTGTCTCATAACCGTTACGTTAGTGGGAGATGAGGTCGTCACTTCCCTACGACACATTATTATTATCATTGTCTCAATACTTATACTGCTCAGGGCGAACGTAACTTATTGATTGACCATGTGAGGCCGAATGACTACGGATTCCGTACTGTTAAGGATTATGGGGATAATTAAAGATATAATACTTTGAACATAAAACGTGCTTTTTATTAACCTCAAAACAACAACATGGAGAGCCTATAACATCATATTGAACGTTCCTTCATAACAGACACAGTGTTGACAACCGACGCAGTGTTGCCATTAAAATACAATATTATAAAAATCATTGTTAATTAACACGTACTACAACTGATCCCATCTGCAGAGGATTCTTAACGATTTCAACGCCTATCATGCTGAATAGTATGTTTCTCATATCTCGTTCAACCGTTCATGCGTAGGGATCTGTTTACGACTTTGCATTGGCATAATATAATACAATCATATTTTTGAAAATAAAGATTATTATTATTATTATTTAGTTAGTTCTTATTAATTTACAATCTTGGATTGTAACTTAATAAAACTATGTGTAACATGTAACTTAATGTTAAATACAGTAATTTATTTTTAATTGCTTTAGGACGAAAAGGATTTGCGAGCATTGCAAGAAAAGAAATGGGGTCCAGTCTTAGACTGGTTTCAGGAAAGGTTTGGAGTCAAACAAGAAATATCACGAGGATTGGAACCACCGCCAGTTACTAACGAAACACGTGCAGTTTTGGCTCGACATTTTCTCTCCTATGATTTTACAGCACTGAATGGTATAGTTTTCTTACTTTTACTTTTAATATTTTACATCCGTATTCCTATCCAACTGCAGAGTGAGACAAGGTGGTTAAAAAAAGACAAGGTGACGTTATATCCGCGAAACTTTTTATGTACATTGGAAGACATTTTCGTGATACTGTACTGGAAAGGATACAGATATGAGATGATAGTGGAACCGCTGGAGGATCTCAGCACTATGGTCGATGATCTCAAGAGTAGTGTTGCCCAAAATGAGTCTTGGTCTTGTTCTTGCATTTTTGCAAGACCAAGAACAAGACCGCCTAATTTTAGCAAGACCAAGACCAAGCCTGATCCTGCAAGATTTGAGCAAGAACAAGACTAAGCCTGCGAGACTCTTGCGTCTTGATGTTAGGACTGAGTGTCGTTTCAGGGATTATAGGAGTTCGGGTATACTCTTAGGGATTCTATGAGACGCGAAAAAATATATTAAAAATTTTTGGAAAATTGGACTTATGCGCATTACGAACAATACCATAAACATATATAGCGAATGAAAATATCCATTAAAAGAAAAAAGAGCATCCCTAGTTTTGACCATCGGCACTTTGATAGTGCGCGGCGTCTTTTGTCGGCATCATTAACTAAATATTATAATATTAACTATATGGGTTTATAATGATTACTTACTATTATTATTATTATTACCTAATAGATGTATAAATATGTTCAATAAGTTCACAGCATATCTCAATTTTGTGCAAAAACAAAGTGCTCGAATATGACTCACCCATTAGATAAATATTGTAGACACTTTTAACACACTTTTGAAACGTGTAAAAATTTTCTACAATTCTAAGCGAATAATATAAAAAGTGTGCATATAAAATAAAAAGCGTGCAATAAGATCTATGTACTGCTTACGAGCCGAGTATATCTGAGAACTGTTTAAAGGAATTAGTATCTTGACTGTTGCATCACAATATATTTTTGCAAAAAATATCATGTATGTATGACAAAATATTCGCTTACATGTAAAGAATAGTGATTTGCACAATTTTAATAGAAGAAATAAAATCAAAATCACATTACCTACTATCCGGTTACACAAGGTATACCATTCATTCTTAGGTAGCGGTGTACGCTTTTTTATAACAAGATTCTAAAAGAAATGTTAGATCTTTCACCTTTTCAATTTAAGTCGCGCATTAAAGCTTGTTCAGCCATAAAAGCATATTATTCTGTAAATGATAAAAATGCTTGGAACTGACCTCTCGTTCTACACAGGACTAACTAGAAATTTGTATACCGATTTGGTATCTACATATTATACATTTGTCATTTTATGTTTGACTTATCGCTTTACATAATTATAGTACTCTTGTAAAAAATATTTTGAAAAGAGCAACTACTCAGTTTCTTACTTTCTTCCATGATTCTTCTCAGTACAATCAGCACCCCTGAACATGTAAAAGGAAAAAATTGGGGAGAACAGTGATTATGACTATTCTTAATAATAATAATAATAATCACTTCATCTTGGCGACAAGAAAAAGTATATGTGGTTCCTATAGTCCTCTCCACAACATGCGTAATACCAAATCATCTCCTCCATAGCTTAACACTATTAGACCTAAAGGAAACCCTCAATATAACACTGCAAAAAGAAAATCGACCGCGACTCCCGCGCATACCCCTAAGCAAGCGAAATCGGGCTGTCGTGAGGGCTCTCAACCCAATGCTGGTGACCTATTTGGAAGCCAGCCGGGACCTTTGCGAGACGGACTCAATTCTTTTTGGCGCCGCACTGGCAGTTTGCCGTATTGTTGGCGCCAAACTTCCCACGGCTGGACGCGCTACTAGACAAAGTAGCGCCATCCCAGCCTGGAGAAGAAGGATTGAGGACCGTATCGTAAAGGCAAGGGCCCTCATTGGCAGGCTGATAAGCTTCAGGTCGGGCAATAATAGGCCGAGAATTGTGCGCACCGTCAGGTTGGCGTTTGCTGGGACAAATATCAGTTTGTCCCAGCCGGATATAACGCAAAAACTGACGGAGCGCATAGACGACCTGAAGCAGAGAATCGCTGCTTGGGGGAAGCGGATTCGGCGATATACCGAGAGGTCGACACGGTTCAACCAGAATCGTCTCTTCCAGAGTGATCAGAAGAGGCTATATAAATCATTGGAGCGACCAATGGTAACGTGGAACGGGCCAAGCACCGAATCAGGCCGACACTGTCGCATTCTGGCGCGGCCTGTGGTCAGAGCCCGTAAACCACAGTGAGGGCCCTTGGACGGAAGTTGTGGTGAGTCAATGTGCGAATCTTACGCCCATGGATCCCGTCATTATAACGCCGGACGATGTAGCTGAGGCGGTCCGAAGGGCCCCGAACTGGAAAAGTCCGGGGCTCGACGGGCTGCATCACTACTGGCTGAAGGGGTTCGTGGTGTGTCACGCTGTGCTCGCCCGACAATTTCAAGAGGCTCTCGACCAAAAGTCGCTCCCGAGCCTCTTCACTACTGGGATCACTCATTTGGTTCCTAAAGACCGGGATACCATAGACCCGAGCAAATACCGCCCCATCACGTGTCTACCCACGATATATAAGACACTAACATCCATTTTGAGCGCGAGAATCACTCGTCACCTGAACTCAAATCAGGTGATGTCGCGCGCTCAAAATGGATGTCGGGGCGGTGGTCGTGGAACCAAGGAACCACTCCTCATTGACGCGGTCATTGGCAAAGTGGTTAAACGCAACCGTCGGAACCTATCCGCCGCCTGGATAGACTACAAAAAGGCATTTGACTCGGTGCCTCATACATGGCTGAAGAGGGTCCTCGAGCTGTACAAGGTTGACTGTACAGTTAGAGACTTCCTCGGGCAGTGTATGGGGCAGTGGAGTACGATCCTTTGTCATCTAGGCGAGCGGATGACGGCTGCGGAGAACCACATAAGGATAAGAAGGGGTATCTTCCAGGGCGATTGTCTGAGTCCAATCTGGTTCTGCCTCTCTCTGAACCCTCTCAGTACCTTACTGGAGGGCTCCGGGAGGGGATTTCAGCTTCGGAGGGGAGGTACAAAAGTGACCCACCTTTTCTATATGGATGATCTCAAGTTATTCGCCTCCAGTCGCTCTCATCTTGTGGAATTGCTAAACATCACTTGTGATTTTAGCAATTCTATTGGAATGGGGCTGGGGACGGATAAGTGTGCGGTCCTCCATGTTGAAAGGGGAAGGGTTGCTAACTCCGAGCGCATAGATTTATCTATGCCCATCAACATAAGGACCCTTTCCGAGGCTGAAACATACCGATACCTGGGTATGTCACAGAACATCGGTGTAGATGAGGCGGGTATGAAACAGTCAGTTTGCGATGTGTTTTATGCACGCTTGACCAAAGTGCTAAACAGCCTTTTGTCCGGTGTGAATAAGACGCACGCATATAACGGTTGGGTCATGCCTGTTCTCATGTATACCTTTGGCATACTTAGGTGGACTCAGACCGAACTAAACGCTCTGGACAGAAAAGTCCGCACTATAATGACGTCCCACAGGGTGCATCATCCGAGATCGTCAGTTATGAGGCTGTACTTGCCGCGGAAGCATGGTGGGCGCGGCTTTTTAAGCGCGCTTACCATGCATAATCGCGAAGTGTGCAGCCTCCGTAATTACTTTCTGACGAGAGCGGATGATCCATACTATAGGGACGTTATTTCTTGTGATAAAGGACTGACCCCTCTATCCTTAGCCAACGAGCAATGGCAAGACCCAGCAGTACAGTGCATTTCCGACCGGGAGGCCGTATGGAAGGAGAAGGAGCTCCACGGGAGGTTCTACAAGGCTCTACATGAGCCTTTCGTAGACACAGTCGCCTCCCTTCACTGGCTACGTTTCGGTGACCTCTTTGGGGAAACCGAGGGTTTTGTCTGTGCGATACAGGATCAGGTTATTAAGACCAACAATTATCGGAGATACATCCTAAAGGATGGCGCCGTCGACATCTGTCGAGCTTGTCGCCATCCCGGTGAGTCACTTAGGCATGTCATCTCCGGTTGTTCGGCGCTTTCTAACTCTGAGTATTTGCACAGACACAATCTAGTAGCCAGGATTCTACACCAGGAGCTCGCTCTGAAATACGGCCTCGTGGATCGGAAACTGCCGTATTATAAGTACTTGCCGGAAGCCGTGCTCGAAAATGACCGCGCCAGGCTCTACTGGGACCGGGCCATCATCACAGACAGGACTATTCTTGCGAATAAGCCTGATATTGTGCTGATGGACCGGGCACAGTCAAGGATCTTTTTGGTCGACATTACCATTCCTTATGACGAGAACCTCGTGAAAGCCGAAACAGATAAGGTGACAAAATATCTGGACCTGGCTCACGAGGTTACCGGCATGTGGGGTGGTCTGCCGACCGAAATTATTCCTGTGGTCGTTTCTGCGAACGGGTTAATCCCAGTCAGCCTCCCGGATCATCTGAGGCGACTGGGACTCCGTGACGGACCGCTCCAGGCTCAAATGCAGAAGGCGGTGCTCCTCGATACCGCCCACATCGTCCGCCGGTTTCTTTCCCTTTCCCCCTAACCCTCGGCCGTCTGGTCTCCCCTGCCGAGGGCTTCCATCTGGTTGGGTTTTTATTTATTTATGTATTTTTTATGAATTTATTTTATTTTGTTGATATTTATGTATGTTTATCATTTTCATTTACAATTATATATTTATACAGCCCAACCAGATGAGTAAACTATATAGATGCCCCAAATAATAATAATACACACAACATACAGAAGACAATCACAGAAAAAAATAGTAAGTACGCGGAGCTCAAAGATGAAGTGACTTTCTAGTCACTTCATCTTGGCGACAAGAAAAAGTATATGTGGTTCCTATAGTCCTCTCCACAACATGCGTAATACCAAATCATCTCCTCCATAGCTTAACACTATTAGACCTAAAGGAAACCCTCAATATAACACTGCAAAAAGCTGCTATATTAAATACATGCAGAATTCAGGAAATTCATGCAGATAGAAGTAAACGAAATAGGACCTCATGAAAATACATAAATATACACACCTCACGCTGCATTTGCTTTGGTTTCGGCCCGTAAATGTAGTTGAATTCCAGTCCAAGGACTGAGAAGTGAAAAACACTTTCCGAAAATAATAATAATTTCGAATGAGTGAAGTCATATTCGCGCATTTGTGTTTTAAAATCACACACTTCCAAAAATTGATCGGCAGTGTCGGCTTTTAACTTCTATCGTACTCTAGTAGTTAGTAAGTACCTAGATAAATACAGCAAGTAACGTACCTAGGCAAATTTTATTTAATTAACGTAGTATAAAGTAACAGTAATGTCAAAGCTATTGTAGGTATCATCATCATCATCATCATCATTACAGCCCTTCACAAGGCCACTGCTGAACATAGGCCTCCCCCAAGGAATGCCACAAAGCACGGTCCTGAGCCACCTGCATCCATCGACTTCCTGCATGTCTTACCAGGTCGTCACTCCATCTAGTGGGGGGTCGCTCTACACTTCGCCTACCGGTACGAGGCTGCCACTCGAGAACCTTTCTTCCCCATCGGTTGTCGGTTCTTCGAGCTATATGGCCGGCTCACTGCCACTTCAGCTCACTAATCTGTTGGGCTATGTCGGTTACTCTGGTTCTACTGCGGATATCCTCATTTCTAAGTTTATCACGCAGAGACACCTCGAGCATAGCCCTCTCCATAGCTCGCTGAGCGACCTTGAGCTTCCTCATACGGCCAGCAGTGAAGGACCACGTCTCATATCCGTAAGTCATCACAGGCAACACGCACTGGTTGTACAATTTCGTTTTCAGGTTTTGAGGTATGTCTAACGAGAAGATGTGTCATAGTTTCCCGAACGCTGCCCAGCCGAGTTGAATCCGTCGATTGACCTTTCGGTCGAAGTTGGACTTACCCAGTCGGACTATTTGTCCCAGGTAAACATACTCGTCAACAACTTCGAGCTTAGTGCTCCCAACAACTACCGGTATAGGTGTGACTTGGACATTACACATGATCTTTGTTTTGTCCATGTTCATCTTAAGACCGTTGTCAAACACTATTGAGTTCATTGAGCATATTGCTTAGGTCCTCCAGCGATTCTGCCATAAGAACTATATCGTCGGCAAATCGAAGGTGAGTGATTTACTCGCCATTGATGTTAATACCGTATCCTTCCAATCCAGTAGCTTGAAAACTTCTTCCAATCCAGCGGTGAAGAGTTTCGGGGATATAACGTCACCCTGTCTTACACCTCTCTGCAGTTGGAAAGGTTTCGTACTCTGATTCTGTACTCGGATAGCCATCGTAGCTCTACTATACAAACACTTCAGCACTTCGATATACCGACAGTCAACTTTGCACCGCCGAAGGGACTGCAGCACCGCCCAAATTTCGACGGAATCAAAGGCTTTCTCATAGTCCACATACGCAAGGCAAAGTGGCAGATTATACTCCTCGGTCTTCTGTACAATCTGCCGCAGGGTATGCATGTGGTCTATGGTACTAAAGCCTTTTCGGAAACCGGCTTGTTTGGGAGGCTGGAAGTCGTCAGGTCTGCGTGCGAAACGATTAGTAATGACTCTCGAAAACAGCACGTAGACGTAGCTCAGAAGGGAAATCGGTCTGTAGTTCTTAAAGAGAGCGTTGTCGCCTTTCTTGAAGAACAAGACCACCGCACTTCTGCTCCACGCCTCCGGAGTAGTGCCACCATGGAGGACGCAATTAAAGAGCTTCTGAAGGACTTCAAGTACCGGTTTTCCACCCGCTTTCAAAAACTCCGCTGTAATTCCATCCTCGCCCGGGGACTTGCCGTTTTTAAGGTGCTGGAGAGCCATTCTAATCTCGCTCAGACTGACGTCCGGGATATCTTCGGAATAGTGTCGGATAAGACTCGCTCTTGGATCGTTACTCACACTTGCGTGTGGCTCCAACGATGACGTGTACAGCTGCCCATAGAACCTCTCCATCCCACTCAAAATCTCAGGTGTCCCGGAAACGATATTGCCACACTCGGTACTCAGCTATGACAGTTGGGTCTTTCTGGCACACAGATCTCTGGCAAAGACTTTGGAGCCTTGGTTCCGCTCGATCGCTAACAAGCTGTATTGAAGATGCGTAAGTCCCGCCGCATGCATTTGGAGATCTGTCTGTTCAGTTGCCTTTATGCTGTCAAATCTGTTGAAGAGTGTAGCTTCATCTCCCGTCTAACAGCCATGAAAACGGTTTTGTAACTCGAGCTGAAAGGTTTCGGGACTTTGAAACAGAGTACGAGGGGGACGGAGCGTTGACTTCATTAGACGAGACCTCTCCAACTTAACGTTTAGGTTCAGTGTGCCTTTAACCATTCGGTGATTGCTACCAATTTTCACCCTCGCGATCACGGAGACATCACTGAAAAGTTGTCGTCTGGTCGTGATAATGAAGTCAATCTCATTTTTTGTCGTACCGTCAGGGCTCGACCAGGTCCACTTCCTGTAAGGCCGCTTCTGGAAGAAAGAGTTCATCATAAAGAGTCCCTCTTTCTTCATGAAGTCTGCCAGCTGCTGGTCCCTTGGGTTCCGTTGCGCTATTCCGAATTTCCCTACTTTCAGCTCACCGTTCTCTCTCGTGCGTAGTTTTGCATTGAAGTCTCCCATTAACACCGTATAGTGGGTTTTAGAGGAATGCATGGCTCTAGAGATATCCTCATACATTTCCTCCACCTCCTGATCGGGGTGTGCCGAGGTTGGTGCGTAAACCTGTATGACCTTCAGCGAATACCGTTTGGTGATTCTGAGTATAAGGTACGCAACCCTCGTCGACACACCCTCAATCTTTACAACGTTGTTAACGAGACTTGTGGACGATAAATACGACACCTCCTTGGGACAGATGGTCGCCCTCCCGGTGATAGAACAAGTTGCAGGATTCGAGGATTACCGTGTCCTCCCCCTCTCTTCGGACCTCGGATAATCCTATAATATGCCAGCGTAATTTGTCTATCTCTTCTTCCAGCTCCACGATCTTCTCGTCAGTCCTCAGGGTGCGTGCGTTGTCTGTTGCCAGGTCGAGTCGTTTTAGGTGGCAACCGAACCTCCACCGGAGATTCTTAGCACCCCCTGCCCCGCCGTTACCATGGTTGCCATCGTAGCCAGGAATAGCGGGGCCGCCGGGACTGGGGGCCGTCTCTTTGTTGCTCTCATCATTGGGGGTATTTGCCATAGTTGCCACGCTTTGCGAGCGGGTTGGCAACCGCAGTTTTTTATTGTACTTTTGCTGTTATCAGGAAGCTGCCCATCTCCTGCCTGTTTCCCTTTGTCGCCTTTTACGACACCCACGGGAAGATATGGGGTAGTGGATATTCTTAACCGCCATTACACGGCGTAGGTATACTGTTATGTAATTTAATTTGTATTGTATTTTATTTTTTATTTAAATAAATGGTAAATTGTATAACTCTGTTATTCCATTTCATATAAGATGAGGGCCTATCAAGCTCTTTCTAGACATAATGTTCTTTAAAATACAGTCAAGTTAATGTCATTAATTTGTTTTTACAAGTTTTAACCATGTTTTAGCACATGTAAGCTCTTATTAAATGTAAACTTTTATTAAGAAACAGATTGACACCCTTCGCCGTGGGACACGATAGATAGCTCAGTTGGTTAGAGCATCGACACGGATCGCTTAGGTCGTGGGTTCAAACCCCACCCAGTGTCAGTTGAGTTTTCGAATTTCTCATCAAATATTTAGACATTTAATAATTTGGTTGGTCTTTACTATGGCTATGTTAATTCAAGCTGAAAATGTACCTACTCTGTTAAGTTGTTATAAGATCTAAAGTAACGTTTAATAAATATCAATAGGCTAATAGGTAATTGCGAGACTTGCGAGACTCTTGCTGCAAGATCAAGACCAAGACCAAGACTGGGAGCGCAATACCAAGAACAAGACCAGGTGTATTGGCGCAAGACCAAGATCAAGACTGGCTAAGTCTCGTCTTGTTCTGGCATTTGGGCAACACTACTCAAGGGAATGGTCTAAAGATGAATGTAGACAGGCAGAGATCATATGAATAATATTGTTCTTAAGAACACTTATTGGCATAGTTATTGGCAATAACACATTCTACAGAAAAGTCAAGCATACCCAGGATAAGTCAGTTTTAGCTCCTACTTAGGCCAAGAGGTCAATTAACGAATCTAACTCGGCTGGGCTACATTCGGAACATTACGATACATCTTCTCTTCAAATATTCATCAAAATCTTAGATGTATCTAAACTCTAAACCGTAGATGCACAGACCGCGGCCCTCCGGTCGAATACTGGTGGCCCGCCGATAGCAAAAATAATACTCTCGTACATTCGAAAAATATTGAATTATATTCCAGAATAAAACCAAAAAAAAATATGTTCGAAAAGTAATTTGAAACTCGCGCGCGCGCTCTTAAGTGCGCTTATCGGTGCGCCGTGCATGCGTCGGTAACAGCGGTCGGTAATGTTCGTGCTGATCTCGGTTAAATTCGTTTTCTTGAGGAACCGCCGCGGCCGGCGGCGCGGCGACGACGGCAGCGCGGTGGCGGCTTATCCACGGGTTATATTGTTAGAGCAAGCGAGATAGCAATAGTCCCGAATTCCCGATTGCTCGCGTAGGTAGATACACGAACCTTCCAGAGTCGGTTTCGTGATTTCTCCAGACAGTTTTCGACTCTATACGCGCGGTATAAAAGCCACGCTAACCGCAACGACCGACAGTTCGGTTTTAATTTGAGTGAAGTGTCAATAGTTCTAGTGTAGATTTTAACTCGACTAGCCGGTGTCATATATTTTGATCCACATTCAACGTAGATTTCCCGTCAAGTGCCGTGTATAATTGTGTTGTGAAATCATAAGCAAAACTCTGTTATTAATAAGTGTTTCCCTACCTATTTAATCAATTATTTTTGGTAATTTAAAAAAGGATGGGCAATTTAAGTAGGTACTGTAATTGTTTTTAGGTGCTGTGTTAATCCTAGCCAGGATTAGAACGTAACATCGACAAGCCAGGACCTAGTAAAAAACGTAAGGTTAAAGATGAAAATCGTCAGTTTCAAGAAATTTGAACTGAGAAATACTTTTTTGTATGGTCGCATAACAAAGTCGTTTGTTTAATTTGCAAGAATTCTGTTGCGATTGCAAAGGAATATAATGTAAAAAGGCACTATGAAACGCAGCATCCTACTTTTACCAAGTTTACAGGCGAATTAAGAAAGCAAAAAATGTTGTCTTTAAAACGGGAGCTTATTGGTCAGCAAGCTATGTTTACAAAACCCATTCAAGATTCAGAAACAGCTACAGAAGATAGTTATGAAATTTCTCGAATGATAGCAAAGCGAAGTCGCCCCTTCAATGATGGGGATTTTGTAAAAGAATGCATAGAAATTGCCGCTAAGAAAATGTGTCCAACAATTCCTTGATGACATCGAAAGCGAATATGGAGATTCACTGTATTATACAGAAGTAAGGTGGCTAAGTCGTGGATTGACACTGGAACGATTTCTAAATTTAATAGAAGAAATTGGAATATTTCTGGAGGAAAAGCAAAGGGATGTCCCGGAACTTAAAAATCCTGATTGGTTGTGTGATTTGGCTTTTTTAGTTAATATTACAAATCAGCTCTACGCTCATGTATCATCCTTTCAATGCAAGCTGACACTTTTCAGATCGCAATTGAATTCTGGAAATTACAATCATTTTCCGAATTATAAGAAAATGGCTGAAAAATTCAACAAAACTGCGATTAATTTCAGTTATGTAGAAGAGCTAGATATTTTGATTCAATCTTTTCAAGACAGATTTTCGGAGTTTAAAAAAGTGAAACCTCTGTTATGTCCAACAGCAATCCTTTCACGATTTCAGTTGAAAATGCGCCAGAGTCAATGCAGTTAGAAATTATCGACATTCAAAACGACCAAGATTTACGCAACAAATTCAACGAAGGAGACTTGCTGAACTTTTACCGCTGCATTGATAAAAATACGTACAAAGAGTTGCGCATAAACGCTCTGAAATGTGCCAGCTTATTTGGTTCTAACTATATATGTGAACAAACCTTTTCAATACTAAATAATAATAAAACAAAAAATCGAAACCGCCTTGAAAATGAAAGTTTGGAAGCAGTTTTACGTGTTGCTACAAGTAAATTTGAGCCAAATATAAAAAAAGGTTGTAAGCACTATGCAGTGCCACGCTTCAAATTAATAAATTCTTTTTCAATTTTAATACATTATTATCAATTCTTTATTGTCTTTAATTACCTATACTTCTGGCGGCCCGCCATCAGTTCATAATTTGCCCGAGTGGCCCCTAGTCTTAATAAGTCTGTGCATCACTGCTCTAAACAGTTCGTGTAGCCAGTGATCGAGACGTGGTCCTTCGTACCTGACACTATAAGGAAGTTTAGAGTCGTTTAGCGATCTATGAAGGGGTTAGTTTCTCTGCGTAATAGTCTACGTAATGAAGATATCTGCAGTAGAACTAGAGTAATCGTAGTCCAATAGATTAGTAAGCTGAAGTGTCAATAGGCCGGCCTATATACCTTGAAGAACCGACAAGCGATGGGGAAGTAAAAGTCTCGAGTACCTCGTAGCGTTAAGCGGAGTTAGAATATAGTATAATAATGAGTAAGACATGCAGGAAGTTGATATATCTAGGTGGTTCAGGATCGTGCTTTGTGGCATTAGGGGGAGGCCTATATTCAGTAGAGAACATGTGAAGAGTTATAATGAAAATGAAATGCTTATTAAGATATTTAATTTCAATATCATGCAACCTATTGCTCGACATGGAGCTACGATTTGGGACGATTTAACGTTGATTCCAATAGTAATGCGGTGATTGACGATTGCAGTAATATACCTCTTGCATCTTTGGCCTTCTTGTTGACCGTCTGCAATTTTTTAATAAGTATATTAATCACAGACGTTTTAATAAGTATATAAACCGTCGAACTGAAGTCAAACTGGGCCGAATATATCTGTCAAGTAGTCGGAGTTATGGGCCAAACTTTTCACGTAATGGGTCCCAAACAATGTTAGACTACGACGTGATAGGCCCGGGGGTAAAAGGCAGGTAAAACTGAACATTTTCTGTACAGACTGGACTCTAAAAGCCTTAAATTGTGGAGTGTGGAAAAAATGTTAGAGCCCTTTGTTATGAATGGGCCACAACGGGCTGCAAATAATAATAATCTGTATATTAACCGGTATAGTATAAGGTTTATTTTTGCTTGAAACAGTCGAAATCGTTCATGCAAAAAAAGTTCGTTAATAAATAGTCTTTTGTCAAACCACCGCCGTATAGCGCCGGCGTTTTTTCCTTTTGAAAACACTTGTTTTGCTATTCTTACTAATTAGACGTTTTCAGATCGACTTTACTTTTACATTTGTATAACATTAAATAATATTTAACATTTGTAAATATGTTAAATATTATTTAATGAAAAAAATAAAAAATAAACCTTATTTTTTTTCAAATTGAGGTTCTTGGTTGTTTGACATTTACAAATGTTATTATTAGGTGAAAACTTAATTTAATAAAAACCAAGGTTTTCCAGGGTGATTTAGCTGTACCTATTTGCATAAATGATTTTTTTTATAAAACAAAAAATAGTACAAAAGGTTTGTAATCTCTGCATAAAAAAAGTCACTTACTCTCAATTTCAAAGAAAACGCGTAGAAAAACACGTAGTTACCTACTAAAAACAAGTATCCTTCCGTTTTTAACTGATGTTTGATGTCAACTAAACTTAATTAGGTCTAAACAAGTGAAAAAAGAATAAAATAGAAAATTATTTTTACACATGGCTGATGACATGTCTATAGTGGAGCTTGACACGCCAGGCGTGTTATTAAATATTTGTTCGCCGCCACAGCTAAAAGTTGTCGAAAATCGATGCCGCAACGAATCGGTTAATACATGAAGGGAAAACTTTGTAACCCTCGTTAAGCATATTGTGAGATTTCATTTGATTTATGTATAATATTTGTTACAAATACATTAAACTAAATAGAATAAAATATACATTGGTTACGTTCATACTGCCATTGTCTCAGTGCTCAGAGTATGTATATTCTATGTTATGTATGTTATTACTCTAAAGGCGGCTCTTCACGTTGGCCAACATACTGGCGAATGTGTTGGCCAACAACGATGGCCATCGTGTAGAGCGGATGTTTAAGCTACGTTGGTACGTATTGGAACGATGGCCCACAAGTTGGCGCGAGATCCGTCTGGTGTCGGTTTTTTACAAAAGATCAAAGGGTTGTGGCAGAGTATTGGCCGCCGCGTCCTCACGTTTGGCGCACATTCAGTTTGCTACGAGCTCCCAGAGTGATTGCACGCACCTGATTTAAATTTTATATGCACCGTAACTAGTGTCTACATAACGGCAGTAACAATGACCAATGAAAAAACTTTTCGCTTTATAGAGCCCTACCAAGCCGAAAATTGTTTGTGAAACACAAGTCTTTTAAAAAAAAAACGTTACTCCCACACTAGGATTTTGTCCTGTATCGTGGAGGCAGTTTAGAAACATAAATTGCATAAGGACAAACATCCACACCCGGAGAAATTAAGTGCAGGCTATACAAATACTTGTTCCGTGCGGGATTCGAACCCGCGGCCCCCAGCGCAGCAACTCATTGCTAAGCCACTACGCCACGGAGCCGTCAAGAAATAAAATTTCTTTTTTTCCATTTCCTTTTGATCAACCTTTTCTTATACACATTCACGTTGTAGTGATTGATGTATTAATTTATTTATTGATGTATTAATCGATTTATTGATGTATTAATGCTATGAGACTAGGTAAGATACTAAAATCAAATTAAAAGGTAGGATACTAAAATCATGTTTTTACTGTCTTTATTATTCTCTATTAGTTACTTTATTTCGTTAATAATACTGTAATTTTTATTTATGGAAGAGCGAAGTCACCTGTTTCAGGCATTATTTTGCTTACTAGGTGACCTCGATCACTGATCATATAATGTAACTTTAATGTTTGACGATTAAAGATTAAATTATTTATTATTATTATTAAATTCGCCATATGTACTACTTTGTGCATGAAAGTGTAAATAAATAAATATATTCTATAATTATATAAACCCTTTTTAAAAAGGTTTTGTTTAATAAAAATTTTACAACAGTTTCATAGACAAGCTTCGAATATTTTCCAGGGCTTATTTAATTATACCTATGCCTAGGTGTGTTAATGTTTATATAGTTTACTTATCTGTATAACGTTAGTGTATAATAAAGAAATATTAAAAATTTATATTAAAAATATTAAATATTTAAAATAGTGAAAATTAAATAAAAAATAGTGGTATGCTATGAATAAATAAACCGCAACAGCCGTTAGCGCTTCAATAAATAATCATTTTAATAAATTCGTCCGCACATTGGCCTGAACCGAAGCAAACTGAACGACCTTCCAACGTGTGGACGCGATCACAAATTCTTGGCCAATATCTTTGCCAACACATTCGCCACTATGTTGGCCAACGTGAAGAGCCGCCATAAGGCTAAGGCCAATATCATACACTTAACAGTATGTGGTCAAACAATCGCACAGAGTAGATTGTCGCCAAAGGATTTTAAAATGATTACTAACAGATTTTCTAAATAAGCTGTGAATTTTTTGTGATTTCAAAATTTCAAATGTTCCTTTTTCAATAGTGTGTAGAGTGTATGTCAAGGCAAAAAAGCATTTATTTTAAAATATGTATATTAGGTATTTGTGTTTCTATTAATGTGCAGTTAAAAGTGAATGTTACTGCTGCTGTTTATTATACAAACCTAAAAAGTTCATGAATCGCAGTCGAATTTCGACCCCTAGAAAATTGTCGTATGTTACTTTAGTACTTATTATATAAGGAGGGTATTGAAATTTACACATTCAATAATATAGAGATTTATTATTACACTGAATATTATTATTGAATATTATTACAGACGTAGTATAATTTAATGAATTTTCAGCTTTGTGCTTCGGAGTAGAAGCTCTTAAATCGCCAATTCTAATGATAGCATGCACCGATCGATATTTGGAGCCAAAAGAGGCAGTCCTGCTCGCACGGCTTGAAGAAGAATATCAGGTAACTTTAGTATCTAAATTGATTTCAATGAAATTGAATAGTCATAGGTATATATACATATTTATGTATCATCATCATTCTTCGAATTTCACAGAGAAAAAGAAATTAAAGAAATAAATATATTAACTTTGACCTCTCAGTATATTTACGAAAATTTAATGTATGTTCACAAAAACAAAAATAGTTTTAAATGAAATTAATTTTACGAATTGCATCGCGTTTAATTTTAACTTTTTTAATTCCCGACGTTAAACTTACTATCGCCCGATAAAAAGTAGTTTTAATAAAAAAAGTGATGTAGGTATACTCTAAATGTGATGTTTAGCAATTCCATAAGATGGGAGCGACTGGAGGCGAATAACTTAAGATCATCCATATAGAAAAGGTGGATCACTTTTGTACCTTCCTTCCGAAGCCGAAATCCCCTCCCGGAATCCTCTATTAGTAGTTACTGAGAGGGTTCAGGGAGAGGCAAAACCAGATTGAACTCAAACAATCGCCCTGGAAGATTCTTATCCTAATGCGGTTTTCCGCATCCGTCATCCATTCGCCTAGATTACAAAAGATTGTACTCCACTGCCCCATACACTGCTCGAGGAAGTCTCTTAACTGTACAGTTAACCTTGTACAGCTCGAGGGCCCTCTTTAGCCATGTATGGGGCACCGACTTCAATGCCTTTCTATAGGCTATCCAGGCGGCGGAGAAGTTCCGACGGTTGCGTTTAACCACTTTGCCAATGACCGCGTCAATGAGGAATGGTTCCTTGGTTCGCGACCACCGCCCCGACATCCGTTTTGAGCACGCGACGTAACCTTATTTAAGTCCAGGTGACGAATGATTCGCTTACTCAGAATGGATGTCAGTGTCTTATATATGGTGGGAAGACACGTAATGGGGCGGTATTTGCTCGGGTCTGTGGAATCCTGGTCTTTAGGAACCAAATGAGTGATCCCAGTAGTGAAGAGGCTTGGTAGTGACTTTTGGTCGAGAGCCTCTTGAAACTGTCGGGCGAGCACAGCGTGACACACCACGAACCTCTTCAGCCAGTAGTGATGCAGCCCGTCTAGTCCCGGACTTTTCCAGTTCGGGGCCCTATGGATCGTCTCTGTAACGTCATCCGGCGTTATGATGACGGAGTCCATGGGCGTAACACTCGCATACTGACTCGCCACAACTTCCGTCCAAGGGCCCTCGCTGTGGTTTACGGGCTCTGACCTCCAGGCCGCGCCAGAATGCAACAGTGTCGGCCTGATTCGCTGCTGGGCCCGTTGCACGTACCATTGGTCGCTCCAATGATTCATAGAGCCTCTTCTGATCACTCTGGAAGAGACGATTCTGATTGAACCGTGTCGACCTCTCGGTATATCGCCGAATCCGCTTCCCCCAAGCAGCGATTCTCTGCTTCAGGTCGTCTATGCGCTCCGTCAGTTTTTGCGTTTTATCCGGCTGGGACAAACTGATATTTGTCGCAGCAAACGCCATCCTGACGGTGCGCACAATTCTCGGCCTATTATTGCCCGACCTGAAGCTTATCAGCCTGCCGATGAGGGCCCTTGCCTTTACGATACGGTCCTTAATCCTTCTTCTCCAGGCTAGGATGGCGCTGCTTTTTCTAGTAGCGCGTCCAGCCGTGGGAAGTTTGGCGCCAACAATACGGCAAACTGCCAGTGTGGCGCCAAAAAGAATTGAGTCCGTCTCGCAAAGGTCCCGGCTGGCTTCCAAATAGGTCACCAGCATTGGGTTGAGAGCCCTCACGACAGCCCGATTCCGCTTGCTTAGGGGTATGCGCGGGAGTCGCGGTCGATTTTCGAGAGGCGTACTGCGCGTTTCCACAATCGCCTCCTCCAGTTTACTCCTCATCTGCTCTAGTTCTTGGGTGACCATTCCAACATCGCCTGAATCAACTAGAGCGGGGAGATCCATGGCGCCCTCTATATGTGGCTGCTGGTCTGTGGCCTGAGGAGCCGCATCCCCAGCTATAGCCGGTTCATTCGATGAGGGAATAGCCTCACGCCGTAGTCGTTCGAGTTCGGTATCATCAAATATTTTCGAGCGTATAATGTACCGAACTCGGTCTGCCAGGTTTTGCTCCGTGACGGGAACTGACGGCTCAAGCTCAGCAAAAAAGCGATGCATCCGAGCCCGATACGCTATCCCTCCAGTTTCTTCCAACTTTCTTTTTGTCCAACGCATGCGGCGTACTCCACCAGCGGCGGGTGCCGCTTGCCGAGTCCGAAAGGACACCGCCGACACCAAGCCGTCTGGTGCTGATGATGGACGCGAGGGGCTGCTAGGTGGTCGTGCAGCACCTCGCGCTTGGCTGGCGGCTCGCATGCTGTCATGTCCAGCGCCAGCTCCAGACGTTCCCCGGCGACCACCAGGCAGCAGCCCTATGCGCGTTCTATTTTTATCCATCATCCATTAATTTGGGCGTTAATTAACGAGAGACGCCCAGACTCGGCGCCGTTTAATAGTGTGGCCGTAAGCACAAACGGGCCTTTGCACCCTCAATACTGCCGAGGCACGGCGCTCACACCTCTTGGCAAGGCGCTGACTGACTGCGCTGACATAGCAGTTTTGTCACTTAACTGTTACGTCAGCGGGTGATGGGGTCGTCACTTCCCTACGCCTTATTATTATTATTATTATTGTCTCAATACTTACGGCGAACGTAACTTATTGACCAATAATATCCAAGATATTTCTAATACTTCTGATAATTACGCCGAAACTACTTCTGTTACAAAAAAAAAATATCTCCTGAGGATGAAAATTCATAGCATTGTTTTTATTTGGGGTCTATCGAGCAAATAGCGCTAATGTATTAGTTATTTGCATTTTCTATATTAAATGTAATAAATAAAAGTGAAATAGTTGCTGTGCTTCATACCATAATACTCGTAATTTAATATCAGGTTGTGCTCTTTTTTCTTCTCTTCTTCTATTAATACGTACCGTAAGAGTCCTATTAACATAGACGATGCTACTTTGCTTAGAGCTAAATGCTATCTCCATGTAGTAAACAAAATTATAAATTACAGAAACATCCGAAATGCACTCGAGATCGATAATAAAATTAATGATCATGAGAATATCCACTAACCCCTTTCGTGCCACGGGTGTCGTTAGTGTCGGCAGAGGGAATTTGAACCAGGAGATTGACAGCAGCATCTTCTTTTTTTTTTTTTTTTTTTTTTTATAGGAGAGGGGGCAAACGAGCATGCGGCTCACCTGATGGTAAGTGACTACCGCCGCCCATGAACAACCGCAACACCAGGGGAATTGCAGATGCGTTGCCGGCCTTTTAAAAAGGAGTAGGCTCTTTTCTTGAAGGTCCCTAAGTCGTATCGGTCCGGAAAAATCCCTGGTGGTAAACTATTCCACAAGGAAGTTGTGCGAGGAAGAAAACATCTTCTAAATCGCACAGTGGTGGACCGCCAATCATCCAGATGGTGTGGATGGTATCGGGAGTTCTGCCGCGATGTGCGTTCGTGAAATTTGGCGGCTGGGATTAATCCGAACAATTCCTCAGAGCACTCCCCATGGTAGATGCGAAAGAAAATGCAAAGAGATGCAACATCTCTTCGCAGTGCCAATGAATCGAGCCGATCGGAAAGGGCTCGGTCGTCGACGATTCGAGCCGCTCTGCGCTGGATGCGGTCAAGTGGAAGGAGCTGGCACTGGGGAGCCCCTGCCCAGAGATGGGAACAGTATTCCATGTGAGGCCGAACCTGCGCCTTGTAAAGTTGCAGGCGGTGTGCCGGCATGAAATACTGTCCCGCTCTGCTGAGCACGCCAAGCTTTTTAGAGGCCAATTTGGCCTTCTCTTCCAAGTGACCACGAAACTGCACGTCACTCGATATGTCGACTCCGAGGATACCGATACTGGCTGAGGCAAGAAGGGGAGTGCCTTGAAACTGAGGAGATACGACAAAGGGGTTCTTTTTAGCGGTAAACGCGCAAACTTGTGTCTTCTGAGGATTAAACTGGACTAGATTTAGTCGCCCCCAATCCGAGACTTTGTCCAGCAAAGACTCGACTTCAGACACAAGTTTGTTCCGGAACTCGGCGACGTTTTCCCGAGAAATATTGGCCCGGCCGGTGTATAGAGCATCACCAGTGCTGTCATCCGCATAGCAATGAATGTTACCAGTTAGCAACATATCATTGATATGCAGAAGAAACAGCGTTGGTGATAGCACACAGCCTTGTGGAACATCAGCGTTAATAGGCTTGTAGTCAGAACATGCACCGTCTACAACGACCTTGATGCTCCGATCTGCAAGAAAGCTGGTGATCCAATTGCACAATTTCTCGGGAAGCCCATAGGAAGGCAGCTTCGAAAGAAGCGCTTTGTGCCAAACCCGATCAAAGGCCTTCGCAATGTCCAGACTAACGGCCAACGCCTCCCCCTTGGACTCTACTGCCTTCGCCCATCTATGGGTCAGGTAGACCAGAAGATCACCAGCTGATCGACCCCGACGAAAACCGTATTGGCGGTCACTAATCAGCTGGTGATCCTCAAGGTACCGGATGAGCTGGCAGTTAATAATGGATTCCATTATTTTGGAGAACAAGGAGGTGATCGCGATAGGCCTATAGTTGGACGGGTCTGAGCGGTCGCCTTTTTTAGGGATCGGGTGGACAAAAGCTGTCTTCCATGAATTCGGGACTACGCCTTGGGAGTAGGAGTACCGGAAAAGACGCGTTAGGACCGGTGCCAACTCCGGAGCACACGTCCTCAGCACAATTGGGGGGATTCCGTCAGGCCCACTCGACTTCTGGATGTCCAGGGAGAGAAGTGCTTTGCGAACTGAGCGCTGTGAGAATAGCACATCCGGCATGGAGCACTCACACCGCGGGATGGTCGGCGGTATTTTCCCCCCGTCATCAAGAGTCGAGTTGGACGCAAAAAGGGAGCCTAAAAGGTCGGCTTTGTCTTTTGCGTCTTGGGCCAGTGAGTCGTCCTCCCTGTGCAGAGATGGTAGTGATGGCTTACAGAAATTCCCTTGGACAGCCTTGGCGAGAGACCAGAATGCACGGGTTCCCGAAGGAAGGCGAACTAGTTTCTCGCCAATTCTGCCTATGTGCTCTGACTTTGCCTTGGCAATAACTCTTTTGAAGGACCTGGAGGCGAAGTTATACTTCTTTTTAAGTGTGCTGGTGTTTACATCCCGAGTCACCGAAGCCGCAGCCCAGGCTTGATAACACTCCTGCTTACTGCGCAATGCAGTCTTACAGGAGCGACCAAACCAAGGCTGAGATCTGCCTCCGATGGGTACCACAGATGATGGAATAAATAGTTCCATTCCCTGTAGCACCACATCAGTGACAGAGTCAGCAACAGCACTGGGATCATCCGGCGAGAAGCAAACGCGCCCCCATGGGTAGGATGCAAAGAAAGACCGCATTCCGTCCCAATCCGCCGACCTGTAATGCCAAACACGGCGGCAACCTGCAGAACGCAACCGCGAAGGGAGCGTGAGTGGCACCATACTCCGGATCAGACAATGGTCCGAAGAGCCGAGAGGGGCATCGACGGAAACCTGATATCCGTCCGGATGAGAGGTCAGCAGAAGGTCCAACAGGGAAGGTGTATGATCCTCCACATCTGGAATCCGCGTAGGCGAAGTAACCAGTTGTGTCAGGCCATATGCCAAGGCAAAGTCATAAACAGATCTCCCCGCATGATCGGTTAAACGTGAACCGAGCCATTCGGCATGGTGGGCGTTAAAATCGCCAAGGATCACGATCTCTGCGGATGGGACCTGTTGTAGCAAGGAAATCTTCCTGTTGCTAACCCGCTTGCAGGCCAATGTTCAACAGTGGACTTTTGATAGGCTGTGTAATGATAATGAACCAGGAGGGAATGACTTGTTCATCAACTCAAATAAGTCCACTGGGATGACGTTCCCAAAAGCAAATGTGTCAAATATTATTATTATAATTAGTAATAAAAGTAGACTTTAAAAGATACTTAGTGCTTTAAATTTCTAGTAGTATGAATCACTATCTGATAAAATTATTTTCAGACGGATTATTATTGTCTTTTATTTATAAAAAATACAAAATAAAACTAATATCTTATCATACCGGGGATGTAATGGTCGACTATCATTTCTCTCCTTGTTTAAATTAAACCAGGACTTGATTGCGATTTATATAACCAAAATTATACCTATTTGTAACCAAAAATATATATTTGTGTAACCTACAATATTTGTTGTTTAGACAAAGACAATTAAGAAATTCTGTTGATAATTAGGTAGCGAAAAAATAACGCTATCATTATTTTGCGGCACCGAAAAATTTGTGTATTGTTATTTTCAAATATCGCAATAAAAAGATATGACGTCATATCTTTTATTGCGATCCATTTGTTAAAACCTTTAACCGTTTTAACAAATAAATTTTCGGTCATGCAAGGCGCGATAAAGTTTAAACCTACCATTTACTAAAACCTAATCATTAGTAAATAAAATAAAATACGTTCATACTAGAATTAACGCTGCCACCTCCAAATGTATCTGACCGTGTAGTGGCCTTATATCCACAGTGGTAAACAAACCAGGAGATGGGCAGCAGCGTCTTCCTACTAACAACTAAAAAATAGAAAACTGTGATTACTAAAAAACCGCCTGCCAAGCTTGGTAAATATGGCAAATATCCCCCATATAAGGCAATCTATGGATATATTTCTATGTGTAGCAGTGGACTTTTATAGGCTTAATAATACTGATGATGATGATGAAATAAATATCTTATGACTTAACTCATGCATTTTTGAGACACTATCCCTTATGATTCGTAAGAAAATTCGTAGAAAAAATTATTTTGATTTGCATTGATTTGAAAAAATATCTGGGTAATATCCTATAAGTGTCCTAAATCTAGACTACGAGTAAAAATAGGTCAAATGGGCGTCGATAGATTCGTTTGTATAAACCATTAAAGTGCGAGCAGACCTATTTTCAGTAACGAATAATAATAATCTGAAGTGATGATGAAGTAATGGCTTCGTATCAAAGGTTACCTTTTCTTTTTAACAGTTAATGCGGTGGGGGCGCGTACAATGGGCTCACGAGTTGAACCAAGCCGAGCTTACATCACGCGTTGCTGCCGCCTTACTTGTCATACAATCGTCGACTGAAAAACATTCAGCAACTACAAAAAAAAAGCCGTAGTGGACAAAGTGCTTAATTAATCGATAATAGTGATGAACTTATTAAATGTAGAAATTTAATTTACTTAAAATAAATCATTCAATCAAATATAGTGTTTATGTGGTGTTACCCGTAACACTAAACTACCCATACCTTTAAGTTTACGTGGTAGAGCCATGATGCAGCTATATTAGTAGTATAGTTGTAGCACGAATGGGTCAACTCGACCGGGGAAGAACCACACTCTCGCAGAATACTAGCGTAAAATAGCAGCTTAACGCTGCTGTTTCGTATGGTGAGTGTAGAGAACCGGAGATCCTTTTTACTGCAAACGGCGCATTCCATCTTAGCCCTCACGGGTGACAACGCATCTGCATTTTGATTCGTAATCGAGTCTTTTGTCTTTCAGGATATTAAAATTTAAAGTACATATATCATTGAATATGTATTACTGTTGTTAATATATTATATACCTAGTGTATTATATTACACGATAAATATTGATTATCCATTAGGTATTTAATAAATCCCAATTTTTTGTATTAAATATCAAAGATATGAGAAAAGAGAATATACTTGCATACGGATTTTAGCAAATTGCTATTATTTGTAACCCTCCAATTGACAGACATATTATATACTTCTAATTTTGACCTAAGGAAACAAGCATTTAACCTAAATTACATAATTAGATGCTTCGTCATGTGTCAAGATCAATCAAGGATCCTTATCAATTTTAACAGGACAGAAGTAGGCGACAATTTCTTACGTTATACCTATGCCTACAATGCTATGCAAGAATTGAGCGAAATAATGAATATATAACACATATTATGAAAAAAAGAGATTGGTCCAAATCCAAAACATTGATATGAATTATTATTGTTCAAAGCTTTTGTTTAGGTATGTACCTATCCTTTTATTTATATACATTATATACCTATCCTACCTATTTATCCTATATTTCCTACATTTTTATCCATAACTAAAATATAACTTCGTGAAATGAACACTTGCTCGCACAACTAGTAGCGATTGAGTGATTATTATAATGAATAGAAGATTGGGTATGGAATGGTAATTTACTGGCTGGAAATAATTTGATTCCGTAAATAATCAATCCAAGTATGTTGAGTTTAAAAAAAAAAGAATAAATTTAGAGAGTGTATTTTACTCGATAGATTTAAACCAACAAATCTTTTTTTTAGTTTTTGAGTTAAACAATTGAAGTGCCGTGTAAAAATCGGAAAGTATCCAAATTTAAGTGGGGCCGGGCGTTTTAGAGTGAAATGGAAATAGCAAAAACGGAATCGCGAAGTTACGCTAAATATAGCTGAGCGGGCGGAGAGGCGACGCCGCGCTGCAACTCAGTGGCCGCGCAACCTCGCTTTGTTCTCTACTGCTCTACAGCTGCGCCTGGGGCTAAACTGTTATTGACAGTACGACAATTGTGGTTGTGGCTTGTGGTCAATAGTATCAAATTATGATTATTTTCTGAATTTGACTTTCTCGTTCTCGTTGAAAGAAATAAATGTAATAATGAAGTGTGTTAACCGTGTATAAATATGTCATTGTTTGTGCGAAATCGAGGTTAATATGCTCTAGTTTTGGCTTTTGTATCATCTCAACATTTTGCATCGTGTAAGTATTGACAATATATTTCAATAATGCTGTACTCCTGCCTGATTTCTATTGCATACTATTGCACAACTTCCGAATACTATTGCAATCTGTCAACTGCCCAGGATAAATTATAGTGCCACAAGTGTTTGCGCAAAAACAGACGTCGAGCGTCGACTCGTTCTTAACCTACCCGTGCCGTAAGTAACACAATAAAACACGGGGGCCATCATAACTAATTATTTGTGATTCTGTTTAAATGTTGGCCTCAGATGGAATTTGAACCCTGGAACCACGCCGTAGCAAAGAGGTAACTTGACCATTTTTTTTTTATTTCACACAGTGTCGTTTTTATTAATATTGTAATTTTATATACCTAAATGGTTAACGCGGGACAGATATATTTGTTTAAATATTGTTTAAGTTTTGTAATAAATTTTTCAGGAGGTGATGAACGGCGATATAAGCGTGGAGGCATCACGCCCACGTCCATTATCCGGGGGTATTTGGACATTATTTTCTTGGCTTCGTCGAGACGAGCGTTCCTTTTCGGACGAAAGTCTTTCCAGTGTAGGATCGGATCGAACTGCCGTCAGCTTTGCATTTTTGGAACCGCTTCATTATAAGGCTGCCATAGAACCTATCGTTTTGCCGCCCTTAAGTCCACCTACAGACTCGTATAAAAAAAGGGTACGCGATAGAAATTTTCGACGACAACGCGAACGTGATATCACCCTTCATCGCAAGTACGGGTTATTTAAAGACGAAAATAGCGATCGATACGACGTTCTTAGTCTGCCACCTGCACGGAGGAACATTTTAAACTCTGGCGATAAAGCAGAACGTGGACGAAGAGCAACGAGCGAAAGCTTTCAGAGACGAGCCCCTTACGTGCCTGGTAAACGACGCGCGCCGTTGCCTCCAGCGGTAACAACTTCTCTGCCTCGAAATTTATCCAGAAAAAGACCAGCGCCTCCACCACCTACTAAATTAACCGATATACATAAACAAAGTATTGAATTGTGTGCTGAATCAATGAACACAAAACCTGGTTGTGATAAACCTTCCTGTAGCAGCAAAAGTGTGTCTATAGATGCCAAAATTGAAAAGAATAATAGAGAAGAAAAAATCAAATCTGATAAAAGCTTTTTGAAACAGATTTTTGAAAATAGAAAAAGAAACTCAGCTACAGAAACAAACTATGTTAAACTTTTGCCAAATATAAGCGAATTAGATAAGCAAGCAGCGAAGATAATTGAAAACAAAAAACTTAAGGTATTAGAAGGTAATGCAAATGTTTCGATGAGCCGCACTGATTCGACATCACCAGACACAGTTAAAGAAAAATGGATTTGCACATTATGTTTAAGAAAATACAACGCTGCAGTATCCTCTTGTTTATATTGCGTTAAAAACGAAAAACAAACACATGAGTCATTTAAAAATAATGTGAATATTTCATCAAATGTACCCACAAATATCTACACACAAACAGATAATGAGCTTTTAAATGTGGCATCAACGAGTAAAGCAGGCTTAAGCGAAGAAAAGAAAAAACTTAAAGAAATGTTAAAGGAAATGAAAGATTCTCTGCCTAAGAGGCCTAAGCATAGTATTATCGATACGGAGAGCCCCACTCTTCGCATAGGATCTGCATCAAACCATGAAGACAAATCAACTTTACATCTAGAGTCGCCTTCTAAAGCCGATAATAATTTTATAAAAAGTTTAGACAAATTAAAAGTACAGAACATTGAAGAAAGTGTTTCTGTTGTTGCCTTAAAAGGTTGTATTGCAACAAATAAAAACGGTTCAAATTCACGTTCTTCTTCCAGAGATATATCAACTAATTATCCAGTAAAAAAAATAACACCTCAGTTGGAATCTAAGAATACGGGACAAAAAGAATTTGAAACACCTGAGACAAGTACTGAAATAATTAATAAAAATATTTGTTTTAATGATCAGTCTAATGTCTCAAGTAAAATTTTAAATATTCCATTGTCTAATTTTAAAACGACAAATCAGTGTAACACCAAACAAAATGAAACCGATTCATTACTTCAACCGAAAGATTCTTTTTCAGAATTTGAATTTATTAAGAAGGGGAAAATAAATAATACGCAACTAGAATTTCAGCCGGATTTATCTAAAAGTAAAAATTCACCAAAAATAAAAAAGGAGTCACAAAGTTCAATAATAACAAAAAATACAAAACCATTAGAGGTGATGCATTCTGTCATAAATAAAGCTGCACTTAACTCAGATTTGTCTAATATACAAATGAGACGGACAAATACACAAGAAAATAACATCCAATCTCAATTCTTACAGACGAAAATAGTGCATAAAAGTTCAATATGTAATAAACCCAAGGTAAATGTAGAGAGAAGGACAAAGGAAAATAATATGCAACAATCTGCGCCTTCAAAAGTAATAGAGGAATCTGACAAAATTGGAAAAAGTACAGATAAAATGAAAGCTACAATTTCTAGTCTTATCGATGCGCCGAGCATTCATACACCCTTAAAGATTTCATCTCTCTTAAATCCTTTTTATCTTCCTGCACAAACTAATTGTGTGAACACAGAAACGTCAATAAATATAAGTAAAACTAAGAAATCAAATGTTTCTCCTTCAACTTCGTCTGATATATTACAACAATCTTCGATTGTGTCTATATCGAAATCTCCCAAGTCTATTAAAGAAACATCCGAAACTAATGAAAACGAAAATACAGCAAAAGAAATAAAGTCTCCGTCCAACATAATTACAAATGATCAATATAGTACGAATACATCAGTATGTAAAGTTTTAGGCGTAATACCATCATCGTCATCAAAAGAAATTAATAACAATAATGTGGGTAAAATTGATCACCATTTTAGACGACGAGAGTTAGTAAATCAATTGGAGCAATCGATAGCAAAAGGTGATGAACAGTCGGCAGCTGATGCTGCTATTAAGCTTGCTAAATTGCGTCTATCGTGTTCAGTTTTGTCCTTCTCTTCACAGATAGTTGGAAATGATCCTACAACTTCAAAAATTGATATGCCTATTCTAAAACCTAAAGAAAATGAAACCAATAAAAAAATTAAATTTGATTTAGATGAAAAGCTTACGAAACAAAATGTCGAGTCCAAATCGATTATGCAAAATAATTTACAACTAAAGTGTAAAATAACCAAATCTTCAAATAAAAACAATGAACATGTAACTAAAGAATCAACTACAATGATCGATGATCAAGAAAACAAAACACAAACAAATAGAGATATTACCAGTTTGAACAATGTGCCATGCGAACCATCGACTTCAAAATGCAATCCTGTTGCAAATGGGACAACATCGTAAGTAATTTTCTTAGAGATATTATATAAGACTTTTTGTTGAATTTTTACATAATTATATCACATATTAATCTATATCTTAGTGAATATTATCGAATATCTAGTGTAGACTATATTTCACCATTCTTTGCGGAAAAAACTAAAAATCACTAAATCTCAAGTGCTCGTACCATTTGAATGCCGATGATTTACATCTATATGCACAGGTGAAACAATCCAATATTAATAATTCAATAGCATGTGAATTACATATTTTTACAGCATACAAATATGGGTAGAAGATAAAGAAGCGACCCGAGGACCTATTAATTTACGCATTCCGCGACAAGCCGTAATGGGCGAGTTACGGCTTCAAGCTGAGAAGTCACTTGGACTGGATTCTCGATTACAACGCTGGATAATTGGACGAACGCTCTGTTTGGATGACACTATACCCCTCGTCTCTTTGGCTGGACCGGAATTTAGCGCGCCGTTTTACCTCTGTTTAGTGGAGTCCGGTAAGCGTTAATGTTTAAATTACCCTTTAGGATAACAGTTGCTAAATCTCAAAGATTAAAGCGTTGTATTTCAATTCTATTCCAAGATTTTTAACATGAAGATGTCTGTAAAGTCAAATAGACAGAGATTAATGTAGAATTAAACAAAAATATTTATGCTTACGTACATAATATTCAACATAATTTTTCTTATGCCAGTTCACAATCTATTTTGCAATTGTGATCACTGCTTTGAGGTCGACTGGCAGCAAAATACTTTTAGCATCAAGTCTGCCTTTTTACCTGTAAATTTTGTATAAGATTCAATATAGAATGCTGTCTGGTAGTGCGTTTACTTAATCGCCTGCCGTTTGCGGCGATCTTTATTTGGACTTATATATTATGTAGGCAGCGTAAGATAATCAAACATCCCATTTCTTCCTGTGGGTATCAGAAAAGGCGTCTATTTTTACATTTTTTATAACAAAACGTTACCGTAAGGTTTTTCTCCTGTATCGTCGAGGCAGTTTACATGCATAAATTTTGCAGGGATAAACATCGACACCCGGACCAATTGTTAGTCGGCCATACAAATACGTGATCCGTATGGGATTCGAACCCGAAGTCCTCAGCGCCGTGATTCGTTGTTAAGCCACTGAACCACGGCGCTGTCAATATTGAAAAATTTTTTATAGGATAGGGTGACAAACAAGCACACAGTAAGTGGTTGCTGTGACCCAGATATCTACATTTATCCTCAATAAAGAATCAAAATGCAGATGCGTCGTCACCCGTGAGGACTAAGCTGGTATGCCTCTTTTCCAGTAAAAAGGGTCTCCGGTTCTCTACAATCACCATACGAAACACAGCAGCGTTATGCTGCTATTTTACGCTGGTATTCTGTGAGAGCGTGGTCCTACCCGGTCGAGCCGACCTATTCGTGCTACAACTATACTACTAATATAGCTACAGCATGGTTCCACCAAGTATAAAATTGCCAAGAAGATCTCTCTCACAGTGTCCGAGAGATGGCGGTATAAGATGTAAAATACCCAGACAGATGACGATGAGCAGCGATACTTCTAGTACTGCGACCTCCAATCCGCCTGCCACGCGTGCTAATTAAGGCAAATCCTTCATAAAACTGAAGAGCCTCACGTCCAGCTGTGGACTTTTGCGGCCTGTCGATGATGAACTTATAATTTAAAACTATTTAATGTTTAAACAGTTTGTACTTGCAAGTTTAATGTTTAGCGAATCTGCATGAATAATAAACAATTCCTTTGTATATTTGGAGTAAAGATTTTTTTACATGACTTTCCTTTAAATATAGAATAAAATAGACAAGCAAGCACACAGTCCACCTAATGGTAAGTGCATGTCGAGCCCATAGACTGCTGATGCTTTGTCACCCCTGGATTGCTTCGTTACCTTTATAAAGGGGTTTCCGGTTCTCTACACTCACCATACGAAACATTATTCTGCTATTTCGCGCTGGTATTCTATGAGAGGGTGTTTCTAACCCCGGTAAAGCCGATCTATTCTTGCTGCAGCCATAATATAGCTTCAGCGTATTTTTACCATACAAAAAATATTTTGACAATTTGAATTATCATGTATTTACAGAAACAAACAAGGAAAATGCTAACGGTGAACTAGCAAAAGAGCATAAACAAGATAAAGTAAATAACATAATTGATAATACTCGTGAAGTATACACTGAATTGATGAAGCTAGAGCAGCAAGCTATAGTCGCTAATACCGAATCGTTTGAATGCAGTGTTTGCATGGAAGAATGCGAGGCAGGAAAAGGCGCTGTGCTTCGTGAATGTATCCATACATTTTGTAGAGACTGTCTCTCAGATGCTGTGCGACATTGTGAAGAACCTATTGTTTCGTGTCCTGCGATTGGATGTCCTGGTATTCTACAAGAGCGTGAAATTCGAGCGTTGCTACCAACAGAAGATTATGAACGATGGCTGGCACGTGGACTGGCTACCGCTGAATGTGGAACTCGCAACGCATTTCATTGTCGCACTCGCGATTGTACGGGTTGGGCTCTTTGTGAACCAGGTGTCAGAAAATTCCCGTGTCCAGTATGCAAATGCAACAACTGTGTTCCTTGTCAGGTATCACTGTTTTCTAAATTCCATCTTATAAAAAAATAATAAAGTCATTGTAAAAGTTTTTACACCCAAAACTTTAATGCAAAACTATAAATGAACCAACCCAAATAGAATAAACAAAAATAGAAATAACAAAAAATGCTTTTTAAAAAATGCTTTTAGTAAAAAGTAAATACCGACTTCAAAGAATTAAAAAAATTTCACATAATAGCTACAGAAGTCGATGTTAAGACATATTAGAGACGGTATGGAACAGAAAGAACATTGCTCAAGTAATATTATGTTGATGGACTTCAAAGATCTTCGATAAATATGTTGATTCTTCAAGATACAATATTAAGCAGATTTCTTCCTCTGTTCCCTATCTCATGATGATAATTAAATAGCACGTTTTTTTATAGGATAAGGATGACAAGCTACCACACAGTCCACCTGATGGTAAGTGGTTACTGCGGCCCATAGACATCTACATCTATCTTTGTTTGCGAATCAAAATGCAGATGCGTTGTCAACCGTGAGGACTAAGATGGAATGCCTCTTTTGCATTAAAAAGGGTTTCCGGTCCGGTACTCTACGCTAACCACACGAAACACAACAGCATTAAGCTGTTATTTTACGCTGGTATTCTGTGAAAGCGTGGTCCTTCCCCGGTCGAGCCGACCCATTCGTGCTACAACTATAAAATTAATACAGCTGCAGCATGGTTCTACCACGTTACGCAGCATTTAACAATTTCAGTGTTGCCGGCTTTGGAAATAAACTGGGATGGCCAACACACTAGAATTGAATACGAATGGCTCGCACTAGCTCGTTCTTCAGTATCGTCATTCATTTCAACCTTATACTTTTCCCCATAAAAGGATTGTCATAGTTACCACGCTTGGCAGTAGGGTTTGCAACCGCCGTTTTTTTTATTTTTTAGCTGTTGTTAAGGAGACGCTGGTACCCATCTTCTGGTTTTTTTCTTCCTGTCGCTTCTTAAGACACCTAGGGGACCTATTTTAAATATGATATCTCTAGCGATTATTAGCAAAGGTAACCACATTCACAAGGCTAAGGTATATGCCATTCATTCTATTAGATTAATAACAAAACATAACAGAAATATTTACTCAAATTGACTACATCATAGTGTGACAGTCAATGTGTTTTACATATACTAAAGAATGTAGCTAAACACTGCATCTACCTATATTAGTTGATATTTTTTACAGGCTATTCACGAAGCCGAGACCTGTGAACAATATCAAAATAAACTTCGTACAGCTGTGACAGCAGCACAAACTAATGAAACAGATGAAGGCACTCAAGCGTTGTTAAATTCTCTAATACGCCGTGGCGAGGCTTTGGAGTGCCCAGAATGTCATGCCATTATAACAAAAAAATGGGGATGTGATTGGGTGAAATGTTCAGCGTGTAAAACGGAAATTTGTTGGGTGACCAGGGGCCGCCGTTGGGGACCGGGAGGCCGCGGCGATACGTCGGCGGGTTGTAGGTGTGGTGTCGATGGCAAAAAATGCCATCCTTCTTGTGGTTATTGCCATTAAATTATTTTATTCTTATTATATTTATTCACAAGAAGTGTACAACTATATTGTATTTAATCATCATATACCTATAATAAATCAATATTTTTAAATAGTTTTTAATCTTTTTATTCTATACGGTCTGCATCTTTTTAATTGTTTTTGGGTTTATAAATCAATTACTGTTTTTTTTTTATGAGCCGTAGTAGCTCAAGGACTTAGCGCTCGCTTTAAATTTTACCGTACGCGAGCAACCCGGGTTCGATCCCCGCCGGCACCAACGAAATTGTTAATTGTAATTTTAAGTGCTGCTTTACCACGTGCTCGGCGGTGAAGGAAAACATGGTGAGGAAACCTGCATGTCTGAAAAAAATAATATGCGAAGACATGTGAAGTCCGGCAACACTCATTGGGGCAGCTCAGAAGTAAGAGGAGGCCTGTGCCTAGCAGTGGGACGCATATAGACTGTAACTTTACTTTTTATTTATTTTTTATATGATAAGGGTGACAAGCGAGCACACAGTCCACCTGAAGGTAAGGCTGTGGTCCATATAGACATCTACATCTATCCTCGATGACGAATCAAAATGCAGATGCCTTGTCACCCAAAAGGGTGTCCAGTTCTCTACACTCACCATACGAAACAAAGCAGCGTTAAGCTGCTATTTAACGCTGGTATTCTGTGAGAGTGTGGTCCTTCCCCGGTCGAGCCGACACATTTGTGCAACACACTGACCTTTATATATACAAGTACGCTACAACTATACACATTAAATATAGACTAAGTACACGTAAAAACGTGTATTTAATCTATGCTTAATCTAAAACGTTGAATTATAATTTAGATTTTTTTTTATTTGGTAATCTTTTAAAATTGGTAAAAGTAAACACGTGAGTGCATAGAGTTCGTAAGTGATGAGTAAATTACTTAAACCTAGTCTTAGACCAGTCGCAAACTAATAAGAAGTTGGTCGATGGTCTTAGACAATAATATCAGGATAAACGAGAGTACGTACGGATGAAAGTTTTATACTTGTTAAACGTCTAGCAAGCTCGCATTGCACGCACCATTCACCTGCAGGAGCAGAGAGAAAATAACGCGATATTTCGAACTGCATTAGCTAAACGAAGTGATTTAATATTATACATTTTAGTAGACGCGGGCAGCCGCCACTCTAGCCACCGCCACGTGTGCCGGCCTGCCGGAATGTTATACTTTTAATATATTTTTTTAATAGAGTAAGAATGACTTTACGAGCACACGGTCCAACTGAGGATCTATCCTCTCTTATTTTTCAAACATTAATTTACTTACCTCTTTTATTTGCGTGAATTAAACGGTTTTCGTTTTCGGACATACATACCTATTGTGATTTTTGTAACAGTCCCGGTTTCGTAGCTGACATGAGTAAATGAACAGGCTCTTGCGAAAAAGTACCACTATAAATATCAAAAACAGCAAATTTTAAACGCATATTTTTTTTTACTATGCGTAGAACTGCATTGATAGAATCTTGAAAGTTATCCTGTAATCGAGCCGATCCAAACGTTTTTAATTGCAATTTGAAGTTTCGCGAGGAAACCTGCATATTTAAGAAGTTAAAAAAATATTTCGGAAATCATTTTTAGGTATACCTACTTATATGAAGTCGGTCAACCCACGTTGGAGTCAACTCAATCAACGCTTTTTTGTCCTAAAACTCGATGCGGCCTGTCCCTAGTAGTGGAATGTATGTATGCTGGTACTTTTTTACGTTTAATCGGCCTATCCACTGCTGATCATAGGCTTCTCCCATTGTTTGTCAAAAAAGCGGGATATTTGCATAGTTGCCACGCTTAGCAAGTGGGTTGGCAATCACAGCTTTTTATTACTCTGCATTGTTATCAGGAAGGTGCTGCCATCCACCTCCTGTTTCAGTTTCCCTTCTATCACCTCTTACGACACCCACGAGACGAAATGTGGTATTGGTTTCTATTTCACCAATGTAGAGGACATTGCTAATACATTTCTACTCTCATTCATCATTTCGATTCCCTCCATAGATTACGAAATAATTTGGATATTAGCTGTTCTTGCCACGCTCGGCATGTGGGTTGCCAACTGCATCTTTCTATTATTTTAAGCTATAATCAGAAATATGCTTCTGCCTATCTTGTCTATATTTGTACTCCAGTTCATAAATATAGTTCCTCTCACACGTTCATCGTGAATAGAACCACATTTATGAAATTTTAACTATAATTGAGTAGTATTAATGGTATTTCTAAATTGAAACTAACGCGAGCGAGGCCGCAGGTAAAAAGCTAGTGCTTAATACATTTTAATATTATTAATGCTTGTTGCATTAATAATTTAATAATACCCGAAATACCTTAAACAAACAAGCAAATATTTTGGACCTTCGAGCCGGATATGAAACAGAAACCTATTTAATATGTATTACACATAAATCACAGTTAATACTTAATAGTAGTATCCGATATCCGACCTTTATTTCTTTCTAAATCCTCTTAAATACAATATGACACTAAATTATTCTTTTACTTTTTAATTTCCATGTGGCCTAGTAGTCAGAATACCTTCTTCCAGATCAAATGTATAAAATATTAGTTTTCGTTTCGTTTCAGATCTGTCTTATGGATGTATTATCTGACGCGCACACAGCACGGACACACACATACACACAAACAGACATTGTTATACTGAAAATGGATTCATGAATTATGAACCTCGAAATCGAAATTTCTAACATGTCAAAAGTTGTTATTCCAAGATCCTTCTGTTGAGGATATGGAAGGTATTATATTCAATTATTTTCTGACGAAACAGCGTAAGAATTCTCTTATGCTGCCAACTCCCCAATTTCGTCACGTGAGTGTCGTAAGAGGCAACTATAGAATATGGCGGAAATATCTTATGGCTTCCAATAGATGGCGGCCGACAAAATACCGAACACCGAGCACCAACAGCCGACGGCAGTGTTAAAGATGCAAAAAAATCTAGCACTGCGATATATTTTACCACTTGGTCTCTCGTTAGAGAGCAGTGCCAAGCCAAGCGAAACAATTACAATGGGATACGTCCACCTCCAGTTGGGACTTTTATGGGCTAATAGACGAGAAAAAATTTCTTCATGACAATATACATATAAAATTTAATGAAAATCATATTCTTTCTAAATTAATAACATACAAATTAATTTTAGGTGTAGCTATATTTAATTTTAAATCATGGATACTTTAGAGTCTAAATAATCCGAACGACTTCCTGCTTGTGCAAGCCGGTCTCACAGAATATTGCAGTGCCGATCAGAAGATCTGCGGTCGATTGACGAAAATTTCACTGTTGTATACATGCCACCTATACGTAACGAAATCCCAAAAATAAAATAAATGTACACCTGCATATTCTATTGTTAATATCGAATTTTCCTTTTATTTACTTTCAAGTTATTGGACAATAAACATGTATTGTTTTCAAACACCGACAAACGCTGCGTTAGAGCCAGGTGGTAGGTAGAGTCGTAATAATATATATACGGCTCCGTGGCGCAGTGGCTTAGCAATGAGTTGCCGCGCTGGGGGCCGCGGGTTCGAATCCCGCACGGATGTTTGTCCTTGTGCAATTTGTGTTTGTAAACTGCCTCCACGATACAGGAGAAAATCCTAGTGTGGGGGTAACGTTTTTTTAAAAAAAAAAACAAGACAATAATAATATTTTCATGATGGACTAATAACTAATTGCTTTGCTTTTGTTTCCCATTGGTCAATAATTAGGATTATTTAGCTTCTAAAAACACGTGTTTCCAACTTATTATTACCTGAGTTTACATGGTTTTGTTCACAAACGATCTCAATAGTCTAAGCTTGTGGTTTCTACAGTGAAGACATCTTAAAATGGTAAAAGCACGCGATATTAGCGGTGAAGTGCGTTCTGCCTACGTTGTTTTATATAATGAAGGCAAATCCGAAAGTCGTCGAAGACTTGTGTTCATGGCACAATAACTCGATACAGGGAGACAGGCACTTTTCAAGATCGTCCACGCTCGGGAAAGGCAAGAGCTACCACGTCAAGTGAAGATCATTTCATTGTTGTTACCAGCAAGCGAAATAGACGCTTAACAGTACAGGAAATCCGCGTTGAAGTAAACAAAACCCGAGTTAAACCTTTATCATTGACTACAGTAAAACGGCGACTGAGAGATGCGAAATTGTATGGTCGTGTCGCCGTTCGAAAACTTCTGCTAAGGCCACAAAACAAGAAAAAACGGATGCAATGGGCCCTTGCCCAAAGAGATTGGACTGAAGAAGATTTTAAAAAAGTTTTTTGCACCGATGAATCCAAGTTTGAGCTATTCGATATAAAACGAAGAATTTACGTCCAACGCAGTGACCAAGAAAATATGATGCCAGACTGTGTAGTCCCCAACAAGCAAGCATGGTGGTGGTTCAATTATGGTCTGGGGTTGCTTTTCTAGCCAAGGAACTGGCGATTTGATCAAAATTGACAGAATTATGAAAAAGGAAGAGTACAAACAAAATTTAGAACAAAATGCCATTCCTTCGGGGTTGCGATTAATTGGAGATGGATTCATTTTCCAACAGGACAATGATCCTAATCATAGCTCAAAATTATGCAGAGGATATTTCTAAGAGAAAGAGGCACAAGGGATGTTAAAAAACACGGTTTCACCTCCTCAGAACCCGGATCTCAATCCCATTGAACTTTTGTGGGAAGAGCTTAATAGGGACGTCCGTAATTGTAATCCATCCTCGCGAGAAGAAATGTGGAATGCTTTGTGCAAAAGTTGGAGCAATATATCACAAGACATTATCAACAAATTGATAGTCCGTATGCCGAAACTTGTGAAAAAAGTCATAGAATGCAAAGGAGGATTTTTGATAAAAATCAGTTTAGCTAACAATAGCCTTTTTTAGCATGGACTGTTAATATTTCTTTATGCTTTTCAAGTATATTGATTGTCAAAAAGTGTTTTATTGGGTGATTTAACAGTTTAATTAAACATTTAATATTTTATTGGAGTTTTATTTAATTTTCCTACTTTAATTAAGGTGGTCTTAAACTTTTGGCCTGCAGTGTAATGTACAGCCTTAATTCAACGAATTGATAACAGATCCAGAACATTAGTGACATACAAAAAAACACATTATTCATTCATTCAGAATTGAAAATATCTAAAATTCTTTAAAAATCACCATGAAAGATACTGTATTTGTTCTGGCCCAATGTTGGAATCAAGTGTCCCCAAATCTGATCGAAAAATGTTGACAGCCTTTGTGGCCCTCGTTATTCAAACCAGAGGAAACTTCTGGCATAGGTCTGGATGATTTCGAACCTGAAGATGATATAATATCTGCATACTATTTTTCGAACTCCACATTAATCCAAACAGGGTGTAAATTTTGGGTGTTCGGTTTATTGAGGCCCTAGTGTACTGACTGATTGACAAACAATAATTGTTGAAAAGTATATTATGTGATATTCATACACATATACTTCTTTAAGTTATGCCATATATTAAGAACACAATTTTAGCACCCTGCGGCACTTGCCCCAGATTTTTTTTTATCAAAATGGTGAATTGATTTTGTTAGTTGTAGTTCTATCTGCTCTTGATATCCACTAACCTGGCTCCGTAATATCCACACTTCACCTGTTATGATTGCTCCTTGTGTACCCTGTAGCGAGGGTATAAGAGAAATTACAACCCCATATCATCCCGTAGGTGTTGTAAGAGGCAATAGTGGTAAAAGAAACAGATAGTCAGCAACATCTTCCTCAACCAAAAACTTTGCGGTTGCCAACCTGCTACCAAAAAGCGTGGCAACTATCCATGCGGCAATCTATGGGGAAAACCTTTGTTCAGCAGGGGACTTTTTATAAAATGTAGACTGCTGTTGTAATGGAATGGTATAAACAGTAGCATTTATTTATGTACTTATAAAAATAATTTTATGTACTTCATAATAAATGTTTATATTTTTCACAATTAGATATCCAGAACAATACATATACTTTAGCCTTATTTGCCCTAAAGAATAATAATTTTGAATTTCTTTTGCAAAGGTAATGGTAAAACTAATTTATACATTAGGTTATACCTATTAAATACTGCCAGACCATTAGCAAAAACATAGCAATTGGCGTGAATAATGAGCACTGCTCTGCTGACTGCCTCATGATTCAAAGCTCAGGGCTGTGACACTAATCCCACTGCCTGAGTTTTAGTTACTTGTTTATTCAGTAAATTATGATAGGTGGAAGCACTGTAGAAGTTTGTATTCAAGGTACATTACCTTTGACTAAACCAATATGTCTTGTTGCTGAAAAATAAATTATTAACTCTTTATTTCTCTCACAGGACTTAAGTTTTTATAAAATAAACTTTCAAGATCATAGCATTGGCAGGCCCCAAGCAGGGCTCTTGTTCCATTCATGTCATATAATATATGTTATGTTGAGTTACATGGAAAAATTCTTAATAAACTAACAACCAGCCATGGCTTCACCTGCTTAAGATTATAATGTGGAGTTATAAGTTGAAGATAATAAAGTACCATTTGTTTTGACAATTTCTCATTTCTTATAGCCAGGACAGATAGACAAACATTTTTAAAAATGGTTGCCAACACCTACATACTTGGTGATAGTGCATCTTTACTGCCTAGGATATTGTCTAAGAATCATTCATAAAATGGCATATTTCTTTTATGATTTTAACTGCACAACTTCTTATGCTCTTTTTTATAGCTCTGCTAATGGTTGAATGTGTGGCGGCAATGTCGCCGAAAATCGCATCATAAGCAAAACATACCAAAGCCTAAATCACACTGCTATCCAAGTTCTTAAGTTAACGTGCCTCCGAAATAACACAGAGCGTTGGTCGCTCCCCGGGCTGAACACCTCGCCTGGTGGGAGATCTCCTTTAGAATGCATAAAAATGCCCTTTTACATTACGTCCATCATCTATACTGCTGTGTGTATTAAAATATTATTAAATATTTTTGTAAGAAATTAGTGGCATTTTAGGATAGTCACTTACCATTAAGTGAACTGCTAGCACTCTTATATTATACAAAGGTGAGAAAAAAGAATTATGTCTTCTTTTATGCCAAGACATAGCATAGTCAATAACTATCTATATAAAGGTAGCACACAGACCAATAAAAGTATTACACCACTTTAATGTTCACAATGTTCTGTCCATATTTCCCAATGTAAATGATAATCTATACAAATAAATAAAATTGAAGTGTCTGTTTGTAATGCATATGAAAGTATATATGGTACTTATAATAAAAACACAATTTTTAAAAATTTTGTCTGTCTGTGTCTGTTTGCTCCGCTAATCTCCAAAACGGCTAGACCAATTTCGACGGGACTTTCACTGGCAAATAGCTGATGTTATAAGGAGTAACTTAGGCTACTTATATTTTAGAAAAAGAATTAGGGTTCCGCGTAACATAATTAAAACCCTAAATTGAACGCGGGCAAAGTCGCAGAGAACAGCTTGTGTTCAATAAAAATATAAAAACAACATACATAACATAGACTCGCAAATTTGACTTGTTACAGTGTAATGGATAATGAAAAGATGAATTAAAAGAATTTATTAGATTTGTTTATTTACTCTTAAATGTTTACCTTACATCATTTTATAGATGAACATACTAGGTAAAGTAGGTAAAAATAACATTACCTACTAAAGACAATCTTACCTTGGATTCAGCTTGGGAATTAACATATACTGTCTCAGAATTACTTATCATGATGAATTCACAATATGCACTCAGAATTACTTATCATGATGAATTCACAACTTGACACTAAAAATTACACATCACTTAATTTTAGTAGCGACGCATTCCTGGCGGGCCACGACTGCCAGGACCTCCACGACCCATACCTGGTGGAGCTCCCATCATACCAGGTGGAGGACCACCCATCATAGGACCTCCACGCATCTGAGGAGGTGCTGAAAGTTGTCCTCGTGATCCAGGGGCCATATGTTGTTGAGATGGGCCACCTACACCTCTTGCCGGGCCCTGAAGACCAGGAGGTGGCCCACCTGGACCAGCTCCTCGACCTGCTGCACGTCCTGCTCCCGGACCTCCAATAGCACCCGGAAGCGGTACTCGAGGCAAACCTTCTTCTGGAGGCGGCGGTCCTTCAATAGTAAGAGACACTATATTTTCTCCGCGCAACAGAACAAAACCTAATGTTCTTTTTTCTTCCCTATCTGCCGTTTTGCTATTTTTGGATTTAATTTTCCTGAATTCTTCACAATCACCCAATATCAAATTCATATGCTTATCAAATGCTTTGAAAGTTCCAATAAATGTCCGAGAATCTTGTAAAATAACCCTTACTCTATAGTTAATATGCTGTTGCATTTTATTATTCTTCCCGATCGTCTGAAAATTCAATAATTAAATTTAATATTTTCGTGTTTTAGACTCTTTAAAGTAAACAAATTAAAACAAAAATCTAGACGTATTAAACGCTAAGTATTCAAAATAAAATAAGTGCTAAAAATTGGAAACACAATAGAAAAGACATATATCAATATTTACCATTTTTGAATAATGATTATTCCACTAAATTTAGCTAAAATCAAAACTCCTAAACTAAGCGTTAGCGGGAAATCAAGAAAAGAAAACAGCAACCGGTGACTTTAGTTCTGACGTTTGACATTAGCAAACAAATATGGCGTATATTATAATAGCGTCGCTGAGTGTTGCCCACAGAACACATATTAACCCCAGCCAGAACCAATTTTCAGATTTTTTTACTTAATTATTACTAATTAGATCAATCAAGCACGCAAGTTAAATTAAACTAAATTAAAGGTAGGTGCTGCTTATTCTCAGGAACATGTTATATGATTTTTTAAAGAGAAAAAGAAATAATTAAAAATATTCCTATAACATGTTTCCGAGAATAAGCAGCACCTACCTGCGTTTTGTTGGATTTTAATTCAGAATGTACAAAATCCCATTAATCTCTGAAGAGGCAGTATCTACCGAATAAACTTAGATCGGATCGGAAAATTGTATTTTCGAGCTATGAGCTTTAGAAAAAAATATTTAATGCCATGGACAGTTTCCTTGGAATTTCTTTTTTAACATAATGTTAATAAATTGGCAGATACTTAATTAAGTAAATACCTATTTATATTTTATAAAATCTTTTGCTGGTGAAATAAAAAACGGGGACACAGAGTACAGAATGACTGCTTTATTTTTCATATTATAAGTATTACTTTTAATAATTACAAACATTTCATAATTAATAATTAAATGGATTATACAAACCACGCTATTAAGCCCTCGACACAATGTCGTCGGCCATCAAGCATGAATCGGGTATCATCAAGTATCAAATACTATAGAATTTATAGTACATTCTGGCACAATGCGTCTTATGCATGGACGTCCAGCGGCGCTTCAAGAGCATTACTAAATATCTATACCTAACTACGTTAAGTTTTAGCATTATAACATCGGAGTATAATCCGAAGCTCCGCTCAATCCCTTGGAGAAAATAACGTGATGCTATGAATTATACTAGTGTGACCGTGAGGTGCGGGTGGTTAGGTAAGGTTATATTTTATTTTGGTTAGGTTTATAATGGCATAAATAGGATAATCTCAAGATTGTTTGTCTTTAATATACTGCAGTTTTATAATGTATAAAAATCTATCTCTATTTTTGTCAAAAGTTTTTGAAGTAAAATTTTTGTAGTCTTACTAACCACTCAACCGTCCACGGTGACTACAGTTCCCAAAAACCATTATTGCCTCACCTGTCTAGGCACCAAATGACATCTTTCGGTTTAAACGCATACAGCGCAAAAGATAGCTGTTATTAATAGCGAAAAAAATTATAGATGGTGATATATGAAATTTGTCGTGTGTGAAAGTTAATTTTATCTGCATAATAGTAACAAAATATTTAGAAAAAAAAGTTAAAATTAAATTTCGCCATATTTGTTTGTGGAATGTTAACGTGCGAGAAATTCGATCAAAAATGTGATAACTTTTCTGATTTTATACGTTATTTCTTTGGAAAGAAAGAAAGACATTTATTCACTGGAACTGTACACATCACAAAAATAAAAAATAAAAAGTTAAAAGTATGGTAGATTAAAATTACAAGAGTGTATCGAGCCAGTGAAAAGGTTATGACTCAGCGTAATGCTGCAGGGTAACCTACAGTGTTGATGATTCTGCCATAACCACAGAAACACGCACGATCCGCCTGGAAGTGTTTATGACATGATAATTATTTTATAAATTGAATTATTTCCTTGCTAATAAATATACCTACATATACATTTAGGGATATACACACATACATACATACAAGACATATTATACATAAATATATTCATATCATATTATATTCTATATAAAACTAAAAAGGTTTCAAAAACATGTATAAAAATAAACGTATATACTTGGGGAGTGCTTTTAGCCGGGATGGAAGATGTGATTTAGATGTGGACAGGCGTGTCGCTGCCGGGAATAAAGTCAATGGTGCCCTGACTGCGTTAGTCAAAAGGCAAGGCGTAGTGAAGTGACGTTGTGACTTTTCCAAAATACAGGGTCCATACACTGTAATGCAGTGGTTTAATTTTGAAAGAACGAGAGATTCACACACTCTAATTCTTAAGTCCAATTGAATGTATTCGCGGATTCTATATAACACCTTTAACCTATAAAAGTAGTTGCGGACAAGCTCGAGTACGTGTTTTTCAAAACGCAATCTGCTATCCATAACTAAACCGAGGTTACGAGCTTCACCTACACGATCCAGAGGGATATTTAACAACATGATTTTAAGGTTTTAATTTTCTAAAAATTTGATCCTAAAGGCATATACTTAGTTTTTAGCGGGTTTAAAATGAGGGAATTTTTCCGTGACCATATTGCAATTCGATTCAGGTCCTCATTGATGTTACAAATTGTGGAATGTAATTCAAGTGAATTGCAGGAAAGATATACCTGTAGTTCATCAGCATATAGGTGGTATTTGCAGAAGTGCATGCAGTTAGTTATATCAGCAGTGTAAATTATAAATAACAATGGTCCTAAGATAGAACCCTGTGGAACACCTCTATTAAGTGGTCGTTGTTCAGAAACAAGGGAAGACCCATTTGGTTGATTTAATATTACTTGTTGTGAACGGCCGCATAAGTAACTTTGAAATCATTTTATGGAAGATGTTAGAAAACCATAAAACGATAGCTTAGACAGCAGCAAATCTATGTTAGTAGAATCAAAGCGCTCTTGAAAAATCAAGCAGGGTAAGGATCGAATCTCTACCAGAGTCTTGAGATGTAAGAATATTGTCAACCACGTCAAGTAAACCAGTAGACATGCTTCTACCTTTTCTAAAACCTGATTGCAATTCAGGTAAAATATTGTTAGCATCACAAAACTTGACGACTAGATTATAAATAACTTTTTCTAAAATTTTTGAAAGAAAGGGTAGTATACTTATTGGCCTTAAGTCTTTGAGATACTTAGGATCATTGTTTTTAGGTAAAGGACGTACGAGAGCTATTTTCCACGAAGAAGGAAAAGTAGATGTTTCAATTGACTTATGATTGCTGTAATGACTTTTAACGTAGCCGGCAGTGTTAAGATGATCATATCCCTACTCAACTTATCAATACCGTGAGCATTTAATTTTATTGATAATATAATCTTTGCAACATATTCTTCACTTACATTGTGAAATTTAAATTCATTACACCCATATCGATGAAACTTATATTGAGTTAAATCAGAGATGGTTAAATTATTATTCCCGGGAACATTAAGAAAATGGCTATTGATTATATTTGGGTCGTCGAAAAACACAGGAAGCGTTGTCAATTGCTTAATGTTAGGAAGGACGGACCGTTTCAAGTTCTTCCACAATAATTTCGGACGGTTTAAGTTATTATTAATTTGATTATTAAAATATGCTTTTTTCTGCCAGTATATACTAATGTTTTGGCAAATAAAGTTTCAAATATTTGTATTGAATTTTATCGCTATCCAAATTAGTTTTCTTAAACTTTGCATGGCTTTTATTCCGAAGTTTTTTGATGTACCGAACATTGCTAGTTAACCACGCTGAATTTCGATCACGTATTGCTATGGACTTTTCAGGTGCATGGATGTTAAATATATTTAGTAACAAATAAGTAAAAGTTGATACCATTTCATTAACGCAATCCATTTTAATTACACTTTCCCAATGTACTGAGGCAATCATATTATCAAAGTGAATTAAATTGATTTCTTTTATAGGTCTATAATTAATACATTTTAAATGAGATTTGGGTTTAATTATTTTAAGGGTTGCCAGAATCATTGCATGTGCTCCAAGATCATTCACATGGTTAACTTGTATGCCCTTGACTTCAGCATCAGTATAGACGAGGTCTATTAACGTCTCGCTGTGAGATGTAAAATGTGTGGGTTCTTTAACATAGTTTATAAGACTAGTATAGTGCAGAAATTGTTGAAGTCTCAAGGTCATATTATCGTTTTCATTAAGAACATTTATATTAAAATCACCCAATAACACCACTTTGTCATAACACGAAAATGTTGCTAATGAATCAGTGAGAGCGTCGAAGAAAGTATCAACATTTACCCATTGGGGTCTGTAGGCTGTGCCTATTAAAATTCTAGTCGAGTTGATGACAAGTGATAGCCACATTTGTTCAACGTCACCAATCGAAGAAGGATGCGAACAAGTACGGACTGGAACACCACTCCTAACATAAAACCCGACACCGCCGTCACGACTACGCATAGAGGATGAACGAGGAATATGTTTTAGAGTATATTTAGAGTATATATATATATATATATATATATATATATATATATATATATATATATATATATATTAAAATAACGCTTTTCAAAGCGTTTTGTCAATCATTTTACTCTAGTGCCCTGTGGGTTACATATACGCGTCGAGCTTACAATGCTCTGCGCGTACAGTATAATAACGCTTTCAGGATGTTGTTGCGGCTGCCGTGGCATTGCAGTGCATCAGGTATGTTTGCACAAGCGCGTGCTGACACTTTTTCAGCGATCATTCGGAAGAAAACAGCCTCACTCTTGCAACGCTTACGAAACAGTAATAACAGCATCCTGAGAGCGATATCTGTAAGATATGACTGTCCCATACAGAAGCACTGGGTGGGCGTAGTCATAGGATTAAAATAATGTGTAATTACTACACTACTAACATAGTTTTAAGCCAATATTGTTACTAACAACATTACTAACAATATATGGACCATGGTCTGAAATAAAATTATTATTATTTTTGAGTATCTATACAGTTTTCTCATCTGGTTGGGCAGTATAATATATAATTGTAAA